ATACGTTTTACCTTTTCAGGTACTTAACAACTTTATAGTTAGCAAACAACTCTATCGAATTTTGTTTCCTCACCGACACATTGAGGTGGGGGAAGCTTTATAGCTCCTCTGCAATGCTGAGCACTGAAGGCAGTATTTCTAATCTAACTGAAAATCTTCCCGCACGTCCAACCAAATGCTTCTCTGCTCCCACTACTCAGAAATTCCTGAAACCCTATGACCTCCAAGACCTCTTTCTAATGAATCACGAAATGTTCCCTGCCTGCATAAAAAGACTTGATTTTGATCCCAGCTCTGCCATCCATTTAGACTGTGACCTTGAACACATCACTTCAATTACCGTGCCTGAGTTTTCTTCTCCAGAAACTGGGGGTGACTGTTCTGACCCTGCAGGGGACTTATGATGAGATACCATTTATGAAAACACCTGGCATGTGGCAAGAATGTAACATTTCTTGAATTTAAATTCATCTTTTCTGCTACATCTAAACTGCACTTGGCACCTGCTCCAATCAGCATTCATTATCTAGTTATGTCCGGGTTTAATAATTCAATTCCACTCCCTTTAGTGACAACTTCTAATCACTGCCGCCCAAGGAGAATTCAGACCTCTCGCCTAAACCACTGCCACAGCCTCCTAACCACCTTCCCATCCAGCCATCTGGCCCAGCCTTACAGAAGAATTAATCACTACTCTGCTCTAAATCTTCAACAGCCCTCCACTGAGGGAGCGCAAAATTAGCCATGGCATTCGCACGTCCCCACGTCCCCAACTCCCATCAACTTGTTGAGCATAGTTCTCTGCATGCTCTGAGACCCAACTCCAGGTCATGTGCCCTGCACTTTCTCATCTCCACGCCTCTGCAGACACCACCAGCCTCTCACCTTGATCCTTTCCTACTATGCCCAGACAAAATTAGTCCCATTCTATTCTGCACCACAAAGTAATTTTCTGTATAAGTGTCGCTGCAGTTTTCATATCTTACTTTGGCTAAATACCATCTTTGAGGCATCATTCATCCAGTGAGCATGTCTATCTCCTGTGCCAGGCACTATGCTAGGCTGGGCAAACAGCCCTAACAGAGGGTTCCTACCTCAGCACCTAGCCGGTACTGACAGTAAACAAGGGCAGGTAATGACTGTAATAACGGTCTGTAACGTTCTCGAGAAAACCGGGTGCTGTTTAGCAAGTTTCTGGAAACCCTGCGTCAAACAGGGCCTTTTTGGTTTCAATAAGGAGAAGGGGGAGTGCGCATGTGACATCATCTGGGGTTCAGGGTTAGCGGGCAACCCCCCCAACGCACAGAGGTCCACAGGTCTGTAAAGTCAAGTCCCTCTCCTCGCCGCTCTCACCTGGCCCTCGCCCAGGCTCCTGGCAGCGGGCCCCGGGTCTCGGTCACCAGCGTCACCTCCCATTTACCAAATTCGCAGCGGCGCCCAGCGAGCGGACAGCCTTCCCCACTGACCCGGCGCGCCCACCCACGCCCTCGGCGTTCCCCGCCCCGCAGCCCCGCGGCCCTTCGGCCTGGCAGTTTTCAGCTCGAACGCGAGGCCAAACAGCGCTCCAGGTCGCGGGGCGGCCCGAGGCCGGCCAGAGGCGCTTCCCCGGCCCCGCGGCGCTTCCCCGCCCAGCCCGGCCCCGCGACTTCCCGCCCCAGGATGCGGCTGGCTGTTGCTCCCGGCCCCCACGCGGCGCTTACCTCCGGGCTGGGGGGCGCCTCCTGCGCGCTAGGCAGCGGCGGGCCCCGAGACGGCTCCGCGGCCCGCCGTGCCTGGGCCCTGGCGGCCTGAGGGTCCATGCCCGGCTGCCCGCGGCTCGGCGCCCTGGACGCCGTGGGCCACGTGACGCGCGCCTGTCGGCTGCCAGCCCGAGGATCCACCGCCTAGGGGCCAATCAGGGTCCCGGCCAAGAGGGCGGGGCGCCGGGGGGGTCACGAGGAAGCGGGGGCGGTGCGGCGCAGGGGGTGGGGCCTGCGGCCTCGCGGAGCCCGCCCCTGCCTGCCAGCGCGAAATCTGAAACAATCTTGGGGACTGATTTTGGAAACTCCTCGCGGTGCAGATCCCAGCCTGGACGACTAGCTGGGTGTGAAACGCCAAGTGTACCCTACGCAGCCACTCGGGGTGTGCTCCAGCTTCAAAACCCCGCGTGGGTAAGACACATCAGCAACCTAGTGACCTCCACCTTGAGATAATGATCGTCTTTGAAGATAATCCATTAGAGAAACCAGGATAAGACACAAACTGCAATGTGCGGTGGACACAGAAGAGAGGCCACGACGCTTACTCATAATAATCCTGAACATTCGGGTTCCTGTATTTCCATGCTCAACGCCTGATACTCAACAACCTAATTATTTCCCATTTTGCCTCGAAAGGTGGCTTCTGGGGATAGGCAGGGCCTGAGCTGGGAACAACCCAATTGGAAAGACAGCCTTCCCTGCCTTCCCCACAGTGCCTAACCTCTAATAACAAACCAGCTCAAGGCGTGCTAATCACGTCAACATCAGGACATGAGACCCTCTTCCTTCATCCCCCTCAAAGACTGTGTTGTTTGTACAACACAAAAGGCATTTGAAAAAATTTAGCATAAAACTGACACACAATATTCGGTATTATTATTTTTCTCTCTGTAGATGTTCCTACGAAGGAGTCAGTATCCCCAAGGCTAACTGCCTCTAGGTCAGCAGTGTCCAATAGAACCTTCATTAATGGTGAAAAGTTCTACTATCTGTGCTGTCCAATATAGTAACCATATGCCTACTGAGCACTTAAAATGTGGCCAATATGAATAAATTGAATAATTCTAATAAATTTAAATTGCTACATCTGCCTAGGAGCTACTGTTTCTAACAGTGCAACAACTCTAGGTGTACTAGCTAGATGCGTTTTCATAACCTGCAAGAGTGAGAATCAGATACAGGGACGTGATGAGCCCAGGTGACCACCTTTATATAGCTTTGTGTTAAGGAGACTACCACTATCCTCTTTGCTCCCCACTCTATTTACAACACATATCTCTTCTGTAAAATTAAAGTGCCAAATAAGATTTAGAAGGTTAAACATCCCAGGACTTAAGGGACAGGAAAAAGAGGAATTTTTTCTTATTTTATAACAAATGACAAGAAAACAGGCTGGCCGCGGTGGCTCACTCCTGTAATCTCAGCACTTTCGTAGGCTGAGGCAGGCATATTACTTGAGGTCAGTTCAAGGCTCTCCTGGCCAACATGGTGAAATCCCATCTCTACCAAAAATACAAAAATTAGCCAGGCATGGTGGCGCACACCTATAATCTCAGCTACTCGGGAGGCTGAGGCAGGAGAATCCCTTGAGCCCAGGAGGTGGAGGTTGCAGTGAGCAGAGATTGTCCCACGGCACTCCACTCTGGGCGACAGAGAGAGACTTGGTCAAAAAAAAAAAAAACCACACACACACAAAAAGAAAACAGTACAAAAGCTCAAAATAAAAATATTCTAAAGTAGACTCTAATACTCATAGAAATTTAACTTATAATAAAGGTAACATCACAAATCAGCAGAGAGAAACGTAACTGGCCAAATAGTGTTGGAAAAATTAATTAACTGCTTGGGGGAAAAGAGTCTTCTCAGCACCAGGAAGAGCTTTCGAAGCATTGTAAAAACAGATATCTCACACACACACGCGCGCGCGCACACACACAAAATACCTCTGGGTATCAAAAATTGCCACAAAAGGTGGGCACTTATATAATCCCAGCTACTTGGGAGGCTGAGGCAGGGAGAACTGCTTGAACCTAGGAGGCAGAGGTTGCAGTAAGATCATACCCCTGCACTCCAGCCTGGGCCACAGAGCAAGACTCTGTCTCAGGGAAAAAAAAAAAAAAAAAATTGCCACAAGAAAAGCTGGGGGTAAAATTATTTGCAACATTTTAGAAACAAGATATTAATATACTTAATATGTTTTTAAAAACTCTGCCCAGGCACAATGAATGGCTCATGCCTGTAATACCAGGACTTTGGGAGGTTGAGGTAGGATTGCTTGAGGCCAACCCTTTAAGAGACCAGCCCTGGCAACATAGTGAGACCAGTCTCTACAAAAAAATTTTTTAATTAACCAGGCGTGGTGGTGTGTGCCTGTAGTCCCAGCTACTCAGGAGGCTGAGGCAAGAGGATCTCTTGAGCCCAGAATTTAAGGCTGTAGTGAGCCATGATCACACCACTGCACTGTAGCCTAGATGACAGAGCAAGACCTTGTCCAATTAAAAAAAATGAACTCATAAATTAGTAAGAAAAAAGTGTTTAAAATAGTCTAAGGATGTAAAAAGATGAGAAACATAAAATACACTAACTTCACTAATATCAAAGAAAAGTATGTTGAAACAATGATATATGACATTTCACCTATAAAATGGTAAAAATAAAAAATATAATTACACCAGTCCAGGTAAGGGTATTGACACTTTCATCTATTGCTTGAAAGAAGGAGCAAACCAGCAATACATATCAATATTCTCTAAAAGCAGTATCCTTTGATCCAGTAATTCCACTGTCAGATGTCAATCTCCTAAAGAAATAGCCAGGGATGTGAACAAAGATTGACAAGAATCTTCATCAACAGCATTTGTATAATTTTTTTAAAAATTAGAAATGACAGTCTAGGCCGCGCTCGGTGGCTCACGCCTGTAATTCCAACACTTTGGGAGACCAAGACGGGTGGATCATGAGGTCAGGAGTTCGCAACCAGCCTGGCCAATATGGTGAAACCCCCTCTCTACTAAAAATACAAAAATTAGCTGGGTGTGGTGGGCTGTAGTCCCACCCAGCTGCTCGGGAGGCTGAGCCAGAACCACTTGAACCCAGGAGGTGGAAGTTGCAGTGAGCCGAGATAGGGCCACTGCACTCCAGCCTGGGCAACAGAGCAAGACTGCATCTCAAACAAACAAACAAAAAAAGACAGTCCAACCAGAGGATTAGTAAAATACATTATGGCTTATTTTTACAATGTAATGTTATGAATTCATTAAATGTTTTTAAGGCTATTTAATGACACAGAAAAACAATACTAAGCGAAACTAACAATAAGCCACACTGAAAGCTTCTCCCAGTGACATGGTATTAAGCTACAGGATACAATTCAAACAGTTACATCCTGCTCCTGGAATGTTTTTATTTTTTTGCTCCAAGCCTGCCTTCCACTCCTCACCGCTAAGGCTTCTCTGCACTTCAATCTATTCCCTACCCCTTCCCTTCTTTTGTTGGTGGATCACCTCAATTGCAAACACTTCTCTGATCATCAGTTCCAGAAGACAGAAGACACTTTTTTATGGTTTTCACCTTCTTGAAGGACAAATTTTCCCAACATCCAGCAATTCCTTTGCTGCTGATCCAATCAACTTTCTTAGGACATTCAGCTGTTTCTGCAACCCCCACTTCTATCCCCAAAGGCCTCCCTTCTTTCCTGCACATAATGGGCACTCAAATATTTCTTGAATGAATGGATAAATAATCTAAGAGTATAAATCCAATTCTGATAAAGGAAATCCAATTACTGAGTTTAACTCTAGATTACAGGATGCTTTGATTTTTTTTGCCACACTATTCTATTTCCTCCATATTTTCCAGAACAAATGCATACCACTTATCTTTTATAATGAGAATAAACTAACAAAACTGTACCTTCTCCTTTTTTTTCTCGAGAAGGAGTTTGCTCTTCTTGCCCAGGCTGGAGTGCAATGGCATGATCTCGGATCACTGCAACCTCCGCCTCCCAGGTTCAAGCGATTCTCCTGCCTCAGCCTCCCAAGTAGCTGGGATTACAGGCGCCCAACACCACGCCCGGCTATTTTTTGTATTTTCTGTACAGATGGTGTTTCACCACGTTGGCCAGGCTGGTCTCAAACTCCTGACCTCAGATGATTTGCCTGCCTCAGCCTTCCCAAAGTGCTGGGATTACAGGTGTGAGCCACCACACCCGGCCACTTTCTCCTTCATTTTAACTGGCTCTTAAATCGAGATTAGAGATACTAGTGCTTGACCCCAGATAATAAAAAAAAAAAAACACACAGTCGTATGCTTTCCATATATTTTGGGGAACATTTAGGACCTGTGGTAGATCGGGCCTCAACATTAAATCAGCAGTTCTCTTTCCCAGAATCAGATATTAGCACATCAAGCTGAGCACGGTGTCATACACCTATAATTCCAGCTACTCAGGAGTCTGAGGTGAGAAGGTCACTTGAGTCCAGGAAGTCAAGACCAGCCAGGGCAACAGAGCAAGATCCTGTCTCAATCATAAAAAATTTTTAATTTTTAAAAAAGATTAACAAGTTAACATAAAATAAAGTGTGTCTCAAAACCAGACAGCCATCTTGTCTGCCATCACTGAGCAAATTACAGATGGACTCATAATACAAATTTGCCCACAGGGCTTGCTTGCAATACTGTTTCACAAAGCAGGCTGTATTCTTCCTCTTCACAAATGGCCAGTCTGATGCATAGCATGTTTAGCTACAAATGCCTCTGCTGACTCTCCCTGCAACATTTTCATCGCTCGCCAGTAGATCTGTCCACAGTTCTCAGGTCTACCAAGGGCGTGGTTCAATTCTTCTTTCATATAATCCATCCAAAGATCTTTAAAAAAAAAAACAAAACATAAAATTAGATAACTGACAGGAGTGTTATTAGGTAACCTTATTAAATATCAATTCAACTCAAGATTTCTAAGAAACTTAACTTCCCACTGTTACTTCCCTAGGATGCTTTGTTTAACAATACCTCTCTTAGCTTCTTTAAACTATAGTGGCAGATTTTGGTTTGTTTTTTTTGAGACAGGGTCTCACTGTGTTGCCCAGGCTAGAACGTAGTGGTGAGAACATGGCTTACTATAGTCTCAACTTCCTGAGTTCAAGTGACCCTCCTGCCTCAGCCTCCAGGGCAGCTGGGACCACAGGCACACCACCATATTTGGCTAATTTTTTAATATTTTGTAGAAAGAGGGTTTCACCATATTGCCCAGGCTAGTCTTGAACTCCTGGGCTAAAGCAATCCTTCTACCTTGGCCTTCCAAAGTGCTGGGATTACAGGTGTGAGACACTGCACCTTGCCAGGTTTTTTTTTTTTTTCCCCAGTAGAAAACCTTCACATCAATCATAAAAGTCTGTTTTATTTAATTAACTCAAAAATACTAAACTTTTTGGCTAGGCATAGTTGCTCATACCTGTAATCCCAGCACTTTGGGAGGCCAAGGCAAGAGGATCACCTGAGGTCAAGAGTTCAAGACCAGCCTAGCCAGCATGGCAAAACTCCATCTCAACTGAAAATACAAAAATTAGCCGGGCATGGTGGCACGCGTGCCTGTACTCCCAGCTACTTGGGAGGCAGAGGCACGAGAATCGCTTGAACCTGGGAGGCAGAGGTTGCAGTGAGCCGAGATTGTGCCACTGCACTCCAGCCTAGGTGACAGAGTGAGACACCGACTCAAAACAAAATAAAAATAAACAAATCAATGTTTATGAGTTCATAAATAAAGTCCACAGATTTTACATGACATACCTGTACCCAGAAGTACGTTATACAAGTCCTACAAATGAGGGCAATGTGGAGACAGTCAATAACAGATGCCAATTAGCATCTCACGTTTACCCCTTTCATGTAACTCTAAATACATTTTTTTAAGAGAACAAAACCATGCAAATCTTTCTCTAATCCAGAGGGGGTGTTTTTGGTTTCTGGTTTTGAGACAGGGTCTCATTGTATCACCCAGGCTGGAGTACAGTGGTGGCATCACGGTCATTGAGACTCAACCTCCTGGGGTCCAAACAACCCTCACACCTCAGCCTCCTGTGTAGCTGGGACCACAGGCATGCACTACCATACGCAGCTACTTTTTCTTGTTTGTTTGTAGAGATGGGGGTCTAAATAATGTTGCCCAGGCTGGTCTCAGACTTCTGAGAAATCCAGAGTTCTTAACAGACGACCCATGGACCCCTGAACTTATGATCTTGAAATGATAAACAAAATTAGTATACACAAAGCAACTGAGGAGGTAGAGGAAGGAAACAAGTTTTATTTTAAAAGAGGGTTATGATGCAAAAAAACTAAGAAAACACTTTTGTTTGTTTATTTTTGAGATGGAGTTTCACTGTTGTTGCCCACACTGGAGTGCAATGGCGCAATCTCAGCTCACTGCAACCTCCATCTCCCAGGCTCAAGCAATTCTCCTGCCTCAGCCTCCCCAGGCTGGGATTACAGGTGCGCACCACCATGTCTGGCTAATTTGTATTTTAGTAGAGACAGGGTTTCACCATACTGGCCAGGCTGGTCTCAAACTCCTGACCTCAGGTGATCTGCCTGCCTTGGCCTCCCAAAGTGCTGGGATTACAGGCATGAACCACTGTGCTCAGCCAAGAAATACTGTTCTAACCATACTAATTGGTCACAAATTAAGGGTTTACTTACCAGAATCTGTGGATCCAAATTCTCTCAAAGCCCTCTCATAATATTCTCTTATGTTCGCCATATTGCAGGATTCCTGACAAAGATAGACAATCTTGCCTCAAAAGCCTGATTTATAACATAACAAATTCATTCCAACCATATTGTTAAGCAGCTATTGTCTCTCAGGTATTTGAAGGGGAAGAGTTTAACATGAACACAACTTGGCTCTCAACTTTTCCAGGAAAAAATCAAAACCACTCAACAGAGTGAAGTACACGTGAAACATAAAAGCACTTTGCTGTAGTAGCATGGAAAAAAGTGCTATTAGAAAAAAGTGGGGGACATGGGCAGCTTCACAGAAAACAGTATTTGAAAGTCTTGAGGAACGAGTGGGAATTAAAGAAACAGCGAAGGTTCTAATTGTTTTAAGTAAGGATTTCTTCCTTTTGAATATCTGGGCTCTGGTACTTATTTGCTATATCCACTTAAAATAAATACTAGTTATATAACCTTCAGCAAGTTTTTAAACCCTTTGACCTTAAACACTTCCTCACCTATAAAACAAGCATAATATCTTAGCACAACTATAAGTATTAGATTAAAATGCTGATGAATTATGTACCTAGCAGAATAGCTGTAACTAACTTTACAACCAAAAACTGCTCATTCTCCACCTATTTTTAAAATGTATTCTTGCCGGGCGCCATGGCTCACGCCTGTAATGCCAGCACTTTGGGACGCCAAGGCAGGCGGATCACAAGGTTAGGAGATCAAGACCATCCTGGCTAACACAGTGAAACCCTGTCTCCACTAAAAATACAAAAAATTAGCTGGGTGCGGTGGTGGGCGCCTGGAGTCCCAGCTACTCAGGAGGCTGAGGCAGGAGAATGGCGTGAACCCGGGAGGCAGAGCTTGTAGTGAGCCGAGATGGTGCCACTGCACTCCAGCCTGGGTGAGAGAGCGAGACTCTGTCTCAAAAAAAAGAAAAAGTATTCTTGCCGGGCGCGGTGGCTCACGCCTATAATCCCAGCACTTTGGGAGCCCGAGGCGGGCAGATCACAGGGTCAGGGGTTTGAGACCAGCCTGGCCAACATGGTGAAACTCTGTCCCTACTAAAAATACAAAACTTAGCCAGGCATGGTGGTGCATGCCTGTAATCCTAGCTACTCAAAAGGCTGAGGCAGGACAACTGCTTAAATCTGGGAGGCTGTAGTGAGCCAAGAGTGTGCCACTGCACTCCAGCCTGGGCAACAGAGCGAGACTCTGTCTCAAAAAAAAAAAAAAACTTAGCCAGGTGCAGTGGCAGGAGCTTGTAATCCCAGCTACTCAGGAGGCTGAAGCAGGAGAATCGCTTGAACCTGGGACGTGGAGGTTGCAGTGAGCCAAGATTATGCCACTGCACTCCAACCTAGGCAACAGACAGTGAGACTCTGTCTCCAAAAAAAAAAAAAAAAAAAAAAAAAAGTCAATTTAACCTCATATTTTAGACATGCACGAAAAACAGATCACACCTGTTTAACGGCTCATATGTGCACGGAATTATGCAACATCCTTTCTATCCAGTATCCCATTTGGCCTTACAACTCTCATACCCCTGAAACAGGTATAATAACCTTTACAGATGAGGATGGGAAGCTTAGAATTAAGTGACTTGCTCAAGGCACATAACTATCATGTTATAAATCCAAAGCCTGGCTATTAAATATTAGGCTAGACTATCTCCTGTACTATAAAGCTGTCTTATACAGTAGAATAAGAACAGATACTTGGCTTGCCGGGCGCAGTGGCTCATGCCTATAATTCCAGCACTTTGGGAGGCTGAGGGATCACCTGAAGTCAGGAGTTTGAGACCAGCTTGGCCAACATGGCGAAACTCTGTCTCTACTGAAAATACAAATTTAGCCGGGCGTGGCGGCATGTGCCTGTAATCCCAGCTACTTGGGAGGGTGTGGCAGGAGAATCGCTTGAACCCAGGATGCAGAGTTTGCAGTGAGCCAAGATCACATCATTCCACCCCAGCCTGGGCAAGAGTAGGACTCTATCTCAAAAAAAAAGTAGTATCTAAGTTTTCTATCCTCCAAACACGTACTTTCTCTTTGCTTGATTATCAATCCTAAACCAGCTCTATGGAAAAGGGGTTAGACCAAGGGATCAGAAATTTATACTGTATTATAATGAGAGCTTTTTACATAACAAAACACTCCCAGGCCGGGCACAGTGGCTCACACCTGTAATCCCAACACTTTGGGAGGCAGAAGCAGGCAGATCACGAGGTCAACAGATAGAGACCATCCTGGCCAACATGGTAAAACCCCATCTCTACTAAAAATACAATAATTGGCTGGGCCTGGTGGCGCACGCCTGTAGTCCCAGCTACTCAGGAGGCTGAGGCAGGAGAATCGCCTGAACCTGGGAGATGGAGGTTGTGGTGAGCCAAGATCGCGCCACTGCACTCCAGCCTGGCGACAGTGTGAGACTCTGCCTCAGGGAAAAAAAAAAAAAAGTCCGATAGATTAGTAACCACTTATCCATTTTCCCAGACAAGACATGCTGAAACAGAATACTTACTTGCTCCTTTTCAAACTGAATCATTTTCCTGAAAAAGTCAACTGAAAATGGACGGCTCTCCTGTAAACTAAAAAGGAAAGAGAAAATGTTATCTTCAGCAATGACAAAAAGCCTCTTACATCTCATAAATGTAAATACCCAGACCAGTGCCGCCACAACACATGGTTTAATAAAGACTTGACTTCACATCAATGCAAGGACTTGACCTGATGGCCAGTCACTCTCACAATTCAATGACCACTTTCTCTTCATACCCAGTTCTTAGTTCTTTTTTTTTTCTTTCTTGAGACAGAGTCTCACTTTGTCACCCAGGCTGGAGTGCAGGAGTGCAATGTTGCAATCATAGCTCACTGCAGCCCTGAATTCCCAGGCTCAAGCAATCCTCCTGCCTTAGCCTCTACAGTAGCTGTGACTACAGGTATACAAAACCACACACAGCTTATTTTTCAAATTTTTTGTAGAGAAGAGGTCTCACTAGGTTTCTCAGGCTAGTCTCAAACTCCCGGGCTCAAGCAATCCTCCCGCCTCAGCCTTCCAAAGTGCTGGAATCACAGGTGTGAGCCACCATGCCTGGTTCAATTTTCTTTCTTACTGTACTCTTCTTTCTCAATTGTATTACTTACTGTACTCTTCTTTCTCAATTGTAGAGTTTTCAAGTTCCCTCAACTACATGTCAAAGTCTTTTGGGAAATCAGTAATTCCATTTCTAGGAATATATTCTAAGGAAATGATTTCTAATATGTACAAATATTTGTGCAGAAATATTCATCAAAACAGTATTACTGTGGCCAAAAAAGTTATATTGCATCCACGGCTGGGCACGGTGGCTCACGCCTGTAATCCCAGCACTTTCTGAGGCCAAGGCGGGTAGATCACCTGAGGTCAGGAGTTCAAGACCAGCCTGACCAACATGGTGAAACCCTGTCTCTACCAAAAATACAAAAATTAGCTGGGTGTGGTGGCAGGCACCTATAATCCCAGCTACTTGGGAGGCTGAGGCAGGAGAATCACTTGAACCTGGGAGGCGGAGGTTGCAGTGAGCTGAGATCAAGCCATTACACTCCAACCTGGGCAACAGAGTGAGACTCTGTCTCCAAAAAAAAAAAAAAAAAAAAAAGTTATACTGCATCCACCGAGCAGTATATCATATAGCTTTCTCTCTTTTTTTTTTTTTTTTCCCCCTTTTAGATAAAGTCTACTTCTGTCACCCAGGCTAGAGTACAGTGTTGAGATCATAACTCACTTTGGCCTAGAATTCCTGGGCTCAAGCAGTACTCCCGCCTCAGCCTTCGGAATAGTGAGACCATAGGTAAAAACCGTGTCTGGCTAATTGTTTTTCATTTGTAGTAGAGAAAGGGTCTCGCTATGTTGCCCAGGCTGGTCTTCAACTCCTGGGCCCAAGCAATCCTCCCACCTCAGCCTTGGCTTCCCAGAGTGCTGGGATTACAGGAATGGCATGAGCCACCATGCCTGGCCTCTTTATTTTTTTTTATTTTTTGAGACAGGCTCTCCCTCTGTTGCCCAGGTTGGAATGTAGTGGCACAATCATAGCTCACTGAAGCCTCAAACTCCTGGGCTCAAGCAATTCTCCCACCTCGGCCTCCTAAAGCACTGGGATTACAGGTGTGAGCCACAGTGCCTGAACCATCAGCCATGTATTATTTTAATTTCAACTTTTATTTTAGATTCAGGGGAGTACATGTGCAGGTTTGCTATGTGGGTATATTGCGTGACACTGAGGTTTGGGGTAGACTGACCCCATAACCTAGATAATGAGCATAGTAATCGATAGGTAGATTTTCAGCCCTTTCCTCCGTTTCTCCTACCCTCCTTCCCCCACCCTGTAGTGTCTACTATTTGTCTTTATGTCCACGTGTACCCAATGTTTAGCTATAATTTTAAGTAAGAACATGTGGTATTTGGTTTTCTGTTCCTGTGATAACCTGCTGAGGACAATGGCCTCTAGCTGTATCCAGGCTACTGCCAAGAACATGATTTTGTTCCTTTTTATGGCTGCACAGTATTCCATAGAGTATATGTGCCACACTGTCTTTTTCCAATCAACTGTCCATAAGCACCTGGGTTGATTCCATGTCCTTACTATTGTGAATAGTGCTGTGATGAACATATGAGGACACGTCTCTTTGGGAGAATTGTTTTCCTTTGGGTATATACCTAGTAATGGAATTGCTGAGATGAATGGTAGATTTGTTTTAAGTTCTTCCAGAAATCTCCAGCTGATTTCCACAGGAGCTGAACTAATTTACATTCCCACCAACAGAGTATAAGGTTTTTCCTGCAGCCTTGCCAATATCTATAATTTTATGACTTTTTAATAATAGCCATTCTGACTAGTGAGATGGTATCTCATTGTGGTTTTGATTTGCATTTCTCTAAGGGTTAGTCATCTTGAGCATTTTTTCATATGTATGTTGGCTGCCTTCAATACAGCTATTATATTTGTTTTGTTTCGGGATTTTTTGTTTCTGTTGTTGTTTTTGTTTTGTTTTTGAGATGGAGTCTCGCTCTATCGCCCAGGCTGGAGTGCAGTGGCATGGTATAGGCTCGCTGCAAGCTCTGCCTCCCAGGTTCACGCCATTCTCCTGCCTCAGCCTCCCGAGTAGCTGGGACTACAGGCGCCCACCACCACGTCCAGCTAATTTTTTTTTAATTTTAATAGAGATGGGGGTTTCACTGTGTTAGCCAGGATGGTCTTGATCGCCTGACCTCATGATCCGCCTGCCTTGGCCCCACAAAGTGCTGGGATTACAGATGTGAGCCACCACACCTGGCCTGTTTTTGTTTTTGTTTTGAGATAGGTTCTCACTCTATCACCAAAGCTGGAATGTAGTAGCACAAACATGGCTCACTACAGCCTCAACCACCTGGACTCAAGTGATCCTCCCACTTCAGCTTCCCAAGGAGCAAAAATCACAGGCACATGCCATGACACCCAACTTTTTTTCTTTTAACTTTTAATAGAAATGAAGTCTCACTGTGTTGCCCAGGCTGGTCTCAAACGCTTGGGCTCAAGCAATCCTCTTGTCTCAGTCTCCCAAAGTCCTGAGATTACAGGCCTTGACCCAGCGTGCCCAGCTCACATGGCTATGTTTAATAAATGATGTTTATAAAAAATTTTTGGCTGGGCACAGTGCCTCACACCTACAATCCCAGGCCTTTGGGAGGCCAAGGCAGGAAGATCACTGGAAGCCATAAGGTCAAGATCAGTTTAAGCAACAAAGCAAGACCCCGACTCTACAAAAAAATTTAAGAATTAGCTGGGCATGGCCAGGCATGGTAACTCATGCCTGTAATCCCAGCACTTTGGGAGACTCAGCTGGGCAGACTGCTTGGGCCCAGGAGTTCAAGACCAGCCTGGGCAACACAGTAAAACTCCATCTCTACTAAAAATAAAAAAACTACCTGGGTGTGGTGGTGCAACACATGCAGTCCTAGCTACTTGGGAAGCTAAGGCACAAGAATTGCTTGAACCAGGGAGGCAGAGTTTGCAGTGAGCCAAGATGGGGCCACTACACTCAGCCTGGGCAACAGAACAAGACTCTGTCTCAAAGAAAAAAAAATATTTAGGCCGGGCACCGTGACTCACACCTGTAATCCCAGCACGTTGGGAGGCCGAGGCAGGTGGGTCACCAAAGGTCAGGAGTTTGAGACCAGCCTGGCCAAAATGGCAAAAAGGCAAAAACCCATATCTACTAAAAATATAAAAAATTAGCCAGGCGTCATGGCACATGCCTGTAATCCCAGCTACTTGGGAGGTTGAGGCAGGAGAATCACTTGAACCCGGGAGGCAGAAGTTGCAGTGAGCCGAGACTATACCACTGCACTCTAGTCTGGGCAGCAGAGCGAGACTTCATCTCAAAAAAAAAAAAAAAATTTTTTTAATCGTAAATAAAATTACAGTTACACTATAATCTCAACTACATAAAAACAAATTTTAAAATTATATGTTAACAGTAATTTTTCCTTTGATGATATAATAAATTATCATGGTTATGTTTTCCCCCACCACAATGAACTGCTTTTATTGTTTGAAAAAAAGAAAAAGAAGGCCAAGCATGGTGGCTTACACTTATAATCCTAATACTTTGGGAGGCTGAAGCAGGAGGACTTGAGCCCAGGAGTTTGAGACCAGGCTGAACAATGCTGTGAGACTCAGTCTCTACAAAAAAAAATGTTTTAAGTTAGCTGGACATGGTGGTACATTCCTGTAAACCCAGACATTTGGGAGGCTGAGATGGGAGGACTGCTTGAGCCCAGAAGCTCAAGGCTTCAGTGAGCCATGCTTATGCCACTGCACTCTAACCTGGGTGACAGAGTGAGAACCTGTCTCAAAAAAGAAAAAGAAACTTTACTTTTTGAAAAAGTTTATTGGAAGCCGAATGCACTGGCTCATGCTTGCAATCCCAGCACTTTGAGAGGCCAAGACAAGCAAATCACTTGAGACCAGAGTTCGAGAGCAGCCTGGCCAACATGATGAAACCCTGTCACTACTAAATTACAAAATTTAGCCAGGCATGGTGTCACACATCTGTAATCCCAGCTACTCAGGAGGCTAAGGCAGAAGAATCCCTTAAACCCGGGAAGTGGACATTGCAGTGAGCTGAGATCTTGCCACTGTACTCCAGCCTGGGTGACAAGAGTGAAACTCTGTCTCAAAAACACAAACAAAAAAAAAAAAAGGAAAATGAAACAGTGTATTGGGTCAGGTGCAGTGCCTCATGCCTGTAATCCCTGTACTTTGGGGAGGCTGATGCAGGCAGATCACCTGAGGTCAGGAGTTTGAGACCAGCCTGGTCAACACAGTGAAACCTTGTCTTTAAAATCTAAAAGTTAAAAATTAGCTAGGCGTGGTGACAGGCGTCTGTAATCCCAGCTACTTGGGAAGCTGAGGCAGGAGAATCACTTGAATGCAGGAGGCGGAGATTGCAGTGAGCCGAGATTGTGCCACTGCACTCCAGTCTGGGAAATAGAGCGAGACATGCGACTCCATCTTTTTTTTGTCTGTTTGTTTGTTTGGAGACGGAGTTTCGCTCTTGTTGCCCAGGCTGGAGTGCAATGGCTCAATCTCAGCTCACCGCAACCTCCGCCTTTTGGGTTTTAACTATTCTCCTGTCTCAGCCTCCCAAGTAGCTGGGGTTACAGGCATGTACTACCATGCCTGGCTAATTTTGTATTTTTAGTAGAGACGGGGTTTCTCCATTTTGGTCAGGCTGGTCTTGAACTCCTGACCTCAGGTGATCCACTCGCCTCGCCCTCCCAAAGTGCTGGGATTACAGGCGTGAGCCACCACGCCCAGCCTGAGACTCCATCCAAAAAAGAGAAAAAAAAGAAAAAGTGTATTGGATTACTCCCTCAGATGCTATTTGTGATACAAATAATCTGGGTATGAGCGGCTGAGTACGGGGTGCAGAGACCAGCAACAACTATGAACGTCTGTGAGTACCTTTTAAACACAGCTCTGGCCTTTCTGTAGCCACCACTTCGATAAGCCCAATCCAGGTACTTATTCTTCAGGGTTACTGAGTCGGCACCTATGACAGCTAAGAGAGCTTTCTACAATTTAAAAGAAAAAAGAAGCTATGTGAGAAAACTTACAGGTATCAAAACAGATTTTCCCAGAACCACCTGAGGCCACTCCATAGTGCTTTAGGCGCACCTGCAACACTAGAGCTGGCCAACCAGGGAACCTTCTGCCATTCCCCACACCACGAGACTTGGAACACGGTGCCTATACCTTAAAGACTGCCTCAGTGTCTTCTTGGCTTTTGGCACCTTCACTCCACTCTGCCCAGGAAATCCACAATGGCAGACAAACCTACTCCCAGTTTAAAAAATGTTAGAAAATAGCATATAACAAAACATCGCATGTACCCTATAAATATGTAAAATATTATGTATCAATTTTTTTAAAGCTATAAAATGACAGTTTAGTCCTATGCTCTGAAAACTAGTTAAAAAGGCAGGTTCCTCCTAAGATAATCGACATGTAAAATAGGGATTCATTCCCAAACAGTTCTTGTTGTGACAGAATTCTCATTGCCCAGCAGGAATGGCATGCCAGAACACAGTCAGCCTTCTGACCAAGTCACTCGGAGCAACGCTCTTCTATGAATTTTAGTTCCTTTCTATTGGGAAATATTTCATGTAGTTATCATCAATCAACTTTTAGTTAAGTAAGCAATTAACAGCCCACACAGTTAGATCCACAGCTACCCAGGTCATGTCTCTGCTGTCTAAGACCCACAAGAACTAATCTAGGCTGAACTATCTGATCTTCATTCACGTCCCAGAGATACATACAAATGAGCAGCAAAGGTTAGGCATGGTGGTGCACGTTTGTAATCCCAGAACTTTGAAGACGGAGGCAGGCAGCTCACTTGAGGCCAGGAGTTCAAGATTAGCCTGGCCAACATGGCAAAACCCTCTCTCTACTAAAAATACAAAAATTAGCTGAGCATGGTGGCAGGCGCTTCTAATCCCAGCTACTTGGGAGGCTGAGGCAGGAGAATCGCTTGAACCTAGGAGGCGGAGGTTGCAGTGAGCCAAGATTGCACCAATGCACTCCAGCCTGGGCATGAGAACAAGACTTCATCTCAAAAAAAAAAAAGGAAAAAGAAAACAACACCAAGTGAGCAGTAGTTTTTTTCCTACTTTATCTTCTGGAATACATTTTTCCTACTAACACAAAAAATTCACTGCAAAGTGAATCTGGCCATACACCATGGCTCACGCCTATAATCTCAGCACTTTGGGAGGCCCAGGAGGGCAGATCACTTGAGGCTAGGAGTTCCAGACCAGCCTGGCCAACATGGAGAAATCCTGTCTCTACTAAAATAGAAAATATTAGCCGGGTGTGATGGCACGCACCTGTAGTCCCAGCTACTCGGGAGGCTGAGGCAGGAGAATTGCTTGAACCTGGGAGGTGGAGACTGCAGTGAGCTGAGATCACACCACTGTACTCCAGCCTGGGCAACAGAGCAAGACTCCATCCCAAAAAAAAAAAAAAAGTTGGGCTTATATTCAGCAAGTGACATTAATATTCTACTGGTACTTCTAACTTTATAGGAAATACCATTCTATTCCTAAATAGAATAGGAAGTTTTATATAATTTGGTCAACTTTCAAATAAAGGATATTAAATACAGGCAAGTTCTTCTACTCTTAACCTATGAACCATCACCACTTAATAACAAATGCCACTCTAGAATTGGCTCTCAATAGACAAGTACATTCCAAATGAGCTCTGGCTAGTCTTAAAAGGTTTCCCAAATATAATGAATACAAAAGATCCAGCTCACTGACCTGGGGTTTCAGGTGCACAAAGGCTTCTTCAAAAAGCATGGCTGTGTCAGGACTCTTTGACTCGATCAGCACCCGCAGCTTCAGCTGCCACATTGTCCCAGAGTCTCTAAACAATTCAGTTCCAGCTACTGCCACTTCCAGAGCTTCCCTCAGGAATTTATGACACAGCAACGAAACAATCTAGACAAGACGAAGGATGACTGGTAAATTAATTACTGAAACCCAAACAATCTATATAAATGGAAACAAACACCTCATTTGAGGCAAGAATTTCACCAACCTTTCCACTACAATTTAAAATAAAAAAGAGGCCACGCATGGTGGCTCACACCTGTAACCCCAGCACTTTGGGAGGCCGAGGCAGGCAGATCATAAGGTCAGGAGATCGAGACCATCCTGGCCAACATGGTGAACCCCGTCTCCACTAAAAATACAAAAATTATCTGGTTGTGGCGGTAGGCGTCTGTAATCCCAGCTACTCAGGAGGCTGAAATAGGAGAATCGCTTGAACCCAGGAGGGAGATTGCAGTAAGCTGAGATCACGCCACTGTACTCCAACCTCGGCGACAGAGCAAGACTTCATTTCAAAAAAAAAAAAAAAAACAAAAGAAAGGAAAAGAGCTATGTGATAATTTATAGGTATCAAAACAAATTTTCCATGGCTGTAAACAGGTGCAAAGTGAACAATTTAGAATTTCTCCTCTTTTCACTGCTCCTACCCATGATACCCATGAGGGTTATCCAAAAACAGGGAAGACGTAAAAACCAGAGAACATAAATAATTTAGACTGTAAGTTAGGTGTTGTTTTTTTTTTTTTTGGAGACAGAGTCTCACTCTGTAGCCCAGCCTGGAATGCAGTGGCGCAATGATCTCCACTCACTGCAACCTCCACCTCCCAGGTTCAAGCAATTCTCCTGCCTCAGCCTCCCAAGTAGCTGGGATGACAGGCACCTGCTGCCACACCCGGCTAATTTTTTGTATTTTAGTAGAGATGGGGTTTCACCACGTTGGCCAGGCTGGTCTCGAACTCCTGACCTCAGATGATCTGCCTGCCTTGGCCTCCCAAAGTGCTGGGATTACAGGCATGAGCCACCATGCCCGGCATAAGTTTTTAATAAAACAGTTCATGGCCGGGCACGGTGGCTCACGCCTGTAATCCCAGCACTTTGGGAGGCTGAGGCAGGCAGATCACCTAAGGTCAGGAGTTCGACACCAGCCTGACCAACATGGAAAAACCCTGTCGCTACTAAAAATACAAAATTAGCCAGGCATGGTAGTGCATGCTTATAATTCCAGCTACTCGGGAAGCTGAGTCAGGTGAATCACTTGAATCCAGGAGGCAGAGGTTGAGGTGAGCCGAGATCGTGCCATTGCACTCCAGCCTAGGCAACAAAACTCCATCTCAAAAAAATAATAAATAAATAAAAACAAAACAGTTCACTATTCCAGAACACATGCTCACCCAACAGAGGATGAAAATTAACAAATAGGCCAGGCTCAGTGGCTTACGCCTGTAACCCCAGCACTTTCGGAGGCCGAGACAGGTGGATCACCTGAGGTCAAGACCTCGAGACCAGCTTGACCAACATGGTGAAACCTTGTCTCTACTAAAAATACAAAAATTAGCCAAGTGTGTTGGCACACGCCTGTAATCCCAGCTACTCAGGAGGATGAGGTGGGAGAATCACTTAAACCTGGGAGGAGGAAGTTGCAGTGGGCCGAGATCATGCCTACACTCCAGGCTGGTGACAGAGCAAGACTCTGTCTCCAAAAAATTTTTTAAAACTTAATAAATACAAAATCAGTATTTGTGGTGTGTCAAAGAAACAGGTATATTCATTCAGAGTTGGACATAACATAAACTAATGCAATTTTTCTGAAATTCAATTTGACAGTTTGTAGCAAGAGTCATGAAAGTGCTCAATGCTTCAATTTGGGACTTTTACATTAACAAATGTGGGCCAAAAAATACACGAATGAAAGGAAATCTTACCTGTTCAAAATGCTTATATCTAGATTATTTGAAAAAGAGAAAAAAAAAAACCTAAAACCAATCCAATTGTACAAATGTGTGAAACATTAAATGGCAGTATATAATCAGTACACTCAGCAAGCATTTTTATTGCACACTATATATGCTAGATTCAATAGTGAGCAAATCAGGTACACTCCCTACCAACCATAGAGCCTCCAATCTAAGAGATGAAATGGTTTGATACGTTTCTTCTGACGAAAAATGAATCATCTAGGCTGGGCATGGTGGCTCATGCCTGAAAGACCAAGTTAGAAAACCAGGCACAGCCAGGAGCGGTGGATCACACCTGTAATCTCAGCACTTTGGGAGGCTGAGGCAGTCAGAGATCGCTTGAGGTCAGGAGTTCAAGACCAGCCTGGCCAACATAGTGAAACTCCGTCTCTACTAAAAACACAAAAATTTGGCCAGGCGTGATGGCTCACGCCTGTAGTCCCAGCACTTTGGGAGGCCGAGGCAGGTGGATCACTTGAGGTCAGGAGTTAAGAGACCAGCCTGGCTAAGATGGTAAAACCCCATCTCTACCAAAATACAAAAATTAGCCCGGTGTGGTGGCATGCACCTGTGATCCCAGCTACTTGGGAGGCTGAGGCAGAAGAATCACTTGAACTCAAGAGGCAGAGGTTGTAGTGAGCTGAGATCGCGCCACTGTGCTCCAGCCTGGGGAAAGAGAGTGAGACACTTGTCTCAAAAAAAAGGAATGGGTGGTAAAACAAACCCAAATCATGACTCTTGTTCTAAGTGTTTTTCATTATATAATATTCCTCCCTTTGCTAGTACAGATTTCATTTTTAGCATATGCCAAATACTGGCAAACACATATAAACACACTTTACATACCAAACTCCCGAATGGCCTTCATCTTAAGACTATATATATTTAAAATATGACTGTGGCACAAAACAACTGGAATAAGGTATTTGTAACTGGCAGAAAATATTTTCTCCACGTCCTTACCAACTGCTTGTATTGGCATTCTGACAGAAGCTTCAGTTCATGTGCCTTCCTGAATGAAGTCATGGTTCTTTCCAACCTCTGAAAACAGAAAAATCCCTCAGTTCATTACAAAGATCCCAGCAGAGGCCTCTGGCCTCTGACATGAACAAAAGCAGTTTTGCGCATTTCTAAGAATTCAAAGCTGACTTGCTCCTGCATGGTGCTTTCACTTATGAATAGATGCACTAGGCAGCTGCACCGAACAGAGCCCAGTCACATGAGAGCCCCTCCTAACCTGGCAACAAACCAGACTCAGACCTTTAGAATAACACGTCGCCCACAAGGAGAGAGAGAGTGGCTAAGCATACAAGTTTTCAGAAGCTATGCCAGACACCAAAAGAGCTGTGCTTCTGTTCTTCTTTCAGAAGACAGTCACTATCTAGTCAACCACTGTAACCATGTAACCATGTAACAACCTCACCTTCCCTCTAAGGAACCCACTATTTGACTTCTTAGTAAATCTTTCCAAGCAAAAGGTGATGTAACACTTCCACATGGCCTCTGGAAAAGTCAAAGATTATGTTGATCAGATCACTTAGTTCAACATTCATCACATCAAAGTTATTAAAAGAGAAGGAAAAAAACAGTCATGATACATCTTTTCTTCGAGGGGAAAACTCTCTTCTGAAGAAGAGTTTAAATTAGCCTGATTTTAAAAAGTGTTATTTTGACTACAACCAATAAAACACCTCACAGCTTAAACAAAAAAATTGAAAGCCTTATCTAGGTTATATATCCCCTCTGCCTTTATTCTACATTATTACAAAATAAAAATTGAATCACTATCAAAAGATAATTAAGGGCTGGACACAGTGGTTCATGCCTGTAATCCCATCACCTTGGGAGGCTGAGGCAGGCAGATCACTTGAGGTCAGGAGTTCAAGACCAGCCTGGCCAACATGGTGAAACCTCATCTCTACTAAAAATACAAAAATCAGTGGGGCATGGTGGCATGCACCTGTAATCCCAGCTACTCAGGAGGCTGAGGCAGGAGAATTGCTTAAACCTGGGAGGAAAAGGTTGCAGTAACCCGAGATCATGTCACAGAGTGAGACTCTGTCTCAAAAAGAAAAAATAAATAAATAATTAAGGACGTCAGTAATCCTAGCACTTTGGGAGGCCGAGGCGTGCAGATCGCTTGATTCCAGCAGTTCAAGACCAGCCTGGGCAATGTGACGAAACTTCATCTCTACAAAAAATACATTAAAATTGGCCTGGCGTGGTGGCACGTGCCTGTAGACCCAACTACTCGGGGCGGAGGTGGGAGGATTGCTTCAACCCAGGAGGCAGAGGTTGGAGTGAGCTGCAATCGTGCCACTGCACCCCAGCCTGGGTGACACAGCAGGACCCTGTCTCAAAAAAAAAAAAAAAAAAAAAAAAAAAGGTAATTAAGGAGTAATAATTTAAGAATCTTAGGAATTATTTCCTAAGTTTCCCCCAAAATAAATGAACATAAATACCACTACTATGGAGGAAGGTCATAAAAGCTCCATTACCATCAGACAAAGACCAAGTTAGAAAGCCAGACACGGCCAAATGCGGTGGCTCACATGTGTAATCCCAGCACTTTAGGAGGCCAAAGCGGGCAAATCACCTAAGGTCAGGAGTTCAAGACCAGCCTGGCCAACATGGTGAAACTCCATCTGTACTGAAAATACAAAAATTAGCCGGGCATTGTGGCACATGCCTGTAATCCCAGCTACTCGGGAGGATGACGCAGGAGAATCGCTTGAACCCAGGAGGCAGAGGTTGCAGTGAGCCCAGATTGTGACATTGTACTCCAGCTTGGGCAAGAGTGAGACTTTGTCTCAAAAAAAAAAAAAAAAAAAAAGCCAGACGCGGTAGCTCACACCTATAATCCTGTAATCCTAGCACTTTGGGAAGCCAAGGCGAGTGGATCACCTGAGCTCAGGTGTTCAAGACCAGCCTGAGCAACACGGTGAAACCCCGTCTCTACTAAAATACAAAAAAATTAGCTGGGCATGGTGGCAGGCACCTGTAGTCCCAGCTACTCGGGAGGCTGAGGCAGAAGAATTGCTTGAAGGGAGGCAGAGGTTGCAGTGAGCCTCGATCAAGCCACTGAACTCCAGCCTGGGTGACAGAACGAGACTCCGTCTCCCAAAATAAAAAAAAAAACAGAAAGTCAGGCACATCGTAACTGTACTATAGAGAGATCCCCAATATTGATTTTGGCAATGGGAATGGGAGCTTAAGTTTCACACTCGGGGTACTATTCCTTCTCTATCACACCATGGTTTGGTGAAGTTCACCTGTTGGCAGAGTCTTCACTGCCTCTTCATATACAGCACAGCATCTCTCCTCCTTCCGGCCAACCTCCACTGCTTTGGCTTGTTTCGTTGTGGGCTGCTCTTCTCCTGTCTGTGACTCGATCTCTAATTCTCGCCTTGCCACATAATCCCAAGTGAGAGGATCATCTGTGTGTAGAGTCTGAAGGCTGAAAAATACAACTTACCTGTATCTATCCCACAACAAGAAACTAACTCAGAGTATCAGAGAAACAGTTACCTATGCTTTAAAAATCTACACAGGACATCCCTGTAACAACTGCAGTACCATAAAAACTATTTCCCAGGCCGGGCCCAGTGGCTCACGCCTTTTGGAGATCAGAACTTTGGGAGTCCAAGGTGGGTGGATCACCTGAGGTCAGGAGTTCGAGACCAGCCTGACCAGTATGGTGAAACCCCATCCCTACTAAAAATACAAAAATAAGCTGGGCATGGTGGTATGTGACTGTAGTCTCAGCTACTAGAGAGGCCGAGACAGGAGAATTGCTTGAACCCATGAAGCGGAAGTTGCAGTGAGCCAAGATCACATCACTCCAGCCTGGGTGACAAAGCAAGACTCTATCTCATAAAAAAAAAAAAAAAAAACACCAGGCCAGGCACGGTGGCTCAAGCCTGTGATCCCAGCACTTTGGGAGGCCGAGACGGGCGGATTACGAGGTCAGGAGATTGAGACCATCCTGGCTAACACGGTGAAACCCCGTCTCTACTAAAAAATACAAAAAACTAGACGGGCGAGGTGGCAGGCGCCTGTAGTCCCAGCTACTCGGGAGGCTGAGGCAGGAGAATGGCATAAACCTGGGAGGCAGAGCTTGCAGTGAGCTGAGATCCGGCCACTGCACTCCAGCCTGGGTGACAGAGCGAGACTCTGTCTCAAAAAAAAAAAAACAAACAAACGAAAAAAACTATTTTCCAACAGGCTCTCCAGAATATCTTCACTCATTGTAGAAATTTTGTCAATGGATCAGAATTGTCCAACCTTTTTTTTCTGTTGTTGTTTATTGAGCCAGAATCTCACTGTCACCAAGGCTGGAGTGCAGTGGCGTGATCTCAGCTCACTGTAACCCCCACCTCCCAGATTCAAGCAATTCTCCTGCCTCAGCCTCCCAAGGAGCTAGAATTACAGATGCACACCACCACACCTGGCTAATTTTTGTATTTTTTTTGTGAGAGGTAAGTTTTCACCATGTTGGCCAGACTGGTCTCGAACTCTTGACCTCAAGTGATCCTCCTGCCTCAGCCTCCCAAAGTGCTGGGTGGGATTACAGGTGTGAGCCACTGCACCTGGCCAGAGTTGTCCACATTTATTGAGTTTCAGAATATTTCAGGTATCATTCACAAATGCTAACTTTCAAGTTAGCTCTCAAACTCAAATCAGCAGTTATCTGTGACAACACAAGACTCCAAGAGACCTGAAGAACTTGTTTTTGTTTTTGAGATAGGGTCTGTCACCCAGGCTGGAGTGCAGTGGTGCCATCATGGCTCACTGCAGCCTCCACCTCCCAGGCTCAGGTGATCCTCCCACCTCAGCCTCCCATGTAGCTGGTACTGTAAGTGCATGCCACCATACCCAGCTAATTTTGGTAGTTTTATTGTACAGAGTTTTGCCATGTTGCCCAGGATAGTCTCCAACTCCTGGGGGCTCAAGCAATCGTCCATCCCAAAATGTTGACATTACAGCCCCTGTGCCCAACCTAAAGAACTTCATTATATCTGAGCTCTTCATTTTCAGTGTGTGTGTGTTTTCAGACAGAGTTTCTCTCTTGTTGCCCAAGCTTGAGTGTAGTGGGCACAATCTCAGTTCACTATAACCTCCGCCTCCTGGGTTCAAGCGATTCTCCTGCCTCAGCCTCCCGAGCACCTGGGATTACAGGCATGTGACACCACATCCAGCTAATTTTTGTATTTTTAGTAGAGGTGGGGTTTCACCATGTTGGCCAGACCGGTTTCAAACTCCTGACCTCAGGTGATCCGCCCACCTCGGCATTCCCAAATGCTGGGATTACAGGCAAGAGCCACTGCACCCAGCTTTTTTTTTTTTGGAGACAGAGTCTTGCTCCGTCACCAGGATGGAGTGCAGTGGCATGATCTCGGCTCACTGCAACCTCCACCTCCCAGGTTCAAGTGATTCTCCTGCCTCAGCCTCCCAAGTAGCTAGGATTACAGGTGCATGCCACCACACCAAGCTAATTTTTGTATTTTCAGTAGAGACGGGGTTTCACATGTTGGCCAGGATGGTCTCAATCTCTTGATCTCAGGTGATCCGCCCACCTTGGCCTCCAAAAGTGCTGAGATTACAGGTGTGAGCCACCGTGCCCGGCCCAAGGTTCTTCATTTTCTAAATAACACAGAAAAAGCACAACCTATTCCTCTCTCAAAACCCTGAAGATACCCAAACAACAAACTGATTCAAGTTCTATTTCTCCTCCTGTCAAAGGAAGAGGTGCTACCAAAGAACGCAAGTACCCACAAGGTAGGCTACAAATAATTTTTTTTCGTTAAAAATTTTAATGGTCTCACTCTGTCACCCAGGCTGGGGTGCGGTGACGCAATAACAGCTCACGGCAGCCTCAACCTCACAGGCTCAAGGGATCCTCCCACCTCAGTCCTGCAAGTAGCTGGGACTACAGGCACACAACACCATACCCAGCTAATTTTATTGTTATTTTTGGTAAAAACAAGGTCTCACCATGTTGCCAAAGCTTACAAATAATTGTTAAACCATATAATCAGACATTAAAGAATAAAATTACCAGCCATGTGTAATGGCTCACATCTGTAATCCTTGCACTTTGGGAGGCTAACGCAGGAGGATCACTTGAGCTCAGGAGTTCAAGACCAACCTGGGCAACATAGTGAGACCTCATCTCTATAATTAAAAATGTAAATAAATAAAAATATAATAAAGAAATAAAAAGAATTACCAGCACTCAACTATAAACATATAACTCCCATTTTATGGATAAATGCCAGGAAAATAGAATTTACAATTTTATATAAGCTTTAGATTTTTTTTTTTATTGAATAAACTATTTCCCCCAATAAGTGAATCAAAGAACTTAATCAGGAAGATACTTTTTTTCTTCTGAGACACAGTCTCACTCTGTGACCCAGACAGGAGTGCAGTGGCAGGATCGCAGCTCACTCCAGCCTCAACCTCCCGGACTCAGGTGATCTTCCCACCTCAGCCTCCAGAGTAGCTAAGACTACAAGAATGCACCACCATACCTAGCTTATTTTTGTAGAGACAGGGTTTCACTATGTTGCCCAGGCTGCTCTCAAACTCCTGAGCTGAAGTGATCCACCTGCCTTGGTCTCCCAAAATGCTGGGATCCCAAAGTGTGAGCTACCGCACTGGGCCAGGAAAAAAATTTTTTTTTTTTTTTTTTGAGACGGAGTCTGGCTCTGTCACCCAGGCTGGAGTGCAGTGGCCGGATCTCTGCTCACCGCAAGCTCCTCCTCCCGGGTTTACGCCATTCTCCTGCCTCAGCCTCCGGAGTAGCTGGGACTACAGGCGCCCGCCACCTCGCCCGGCTAGTTTTTTGTACTTTTTAGTAGAGACGGGGTTTCACCGTGTTAGCCAGGATGGTCTCGATCTCCTGACCTCGTGATCCGCCCGTCTCGGCCTCCCAAAGTCCTGGGATTACAGGCTTGAGCCACCGCGCCCGGCCGAAAAAAATTTTTTAACATAATATGATATTAGGTTGTTTTTTTTGGTTTCTTTTTTTTTTTTTTTTGAGATGGAGTTTTGCTCTTGTCACCCAGGCTGGAGTGCAATTGTGGAATCTTGGCTCACTGCAACCTCCGCCTCCCAGGTTCAAGCGAGTCTCACCTGACTCAGCCTCCCAAGTAGCTGGGATTACAGGCATGCACCACCACACCCAGCTAATTTTTTATTTTTAGTAGTGACAGGGTTTCACCATGTTGTTCAGGCTGGTTTCGAACTCCTGATCTCTAGTGATCCACCCACCTCAACCTCCCAAAGTGCTGGGATTACAGTTGTGAGCCACTGCACCTGGCTAATATTAGCTTTTATTCCAGGGATTTAGTGTGGTATCTTCTTTCTCTTCTACTAAATATCCAACCTCAAACCCTTAATCTCAAGATCAGAAATAGATATATTCACCTTTCTACTAATGTTACTTACTCATCATAAATCTCTTTTTGTAGCTCTTTGGCAAAGTCAAATAGCTGTGCAATTGAAAGCAGTGACACGTGAAATTCTGCACCTAAATTTAAAAAGCAAGGAAGGAGAAGTTTATTGCCAGTAAGAGTCACTTTACTTTAAAAGTAGCATTCTTCTCATGTACTACAGTTAATCTTTTTGTTTTTTAAATGAGAAACAGAACAAAATAGAAGAAAAGTCATCCCATAGTCCCCTCACCTCAGGGTCCCTCACCTACTCAAGCAAAGCATTTGTTAATATCTTTGAAGTATTCATAAAACAAGAACTAATTTTCAACTCCCCACATTATTTAATTACTCCATGAGAACTTACTGAGGCTGGGTGCAATGGCTCATGCCAGTAATTCCATCACTTTGGGAGGCCAAAGCAGGAAGATCACTTGAGCTCAGGAGTTCAAGACTAGCCTGGACAACACAGTGAAACCTCATCTCTACTAAAAGCACAAAAATTAGCCAGGCATAGAAGTCCATGCCTAGCTACTCAGGAGGCTGAAGTGGGAGAATCGCCTGAGCCCATGAAGTCGAGACTACAGTGAGCCATGATTGTACCACTGCACTCCTGCGTGGGTGACAGAGTGAGACCCTGTCTCAAAAAAAAATAAATGGAAGGATAAATGACTACACACTGGGTACAGTGTACACTGCTCGCTAATGGGTGCACCAAAATCTCAAAAATCACCACTAAACCTGTTCCCCAAAAACCTACTGACATTTTTATTTTTGTGAGATGAAGTCTCGCTCTGTTGCCTAGGCGCTCTTTCAGCTCAGTCACTGCAACCTCCACCTCCCAGGTTCAAGTGATTCTCCTGCCTCAGCCTCCTAAGTAGCTGGGATTATAGGCGCCCACCACCACACCCAGTTAATTTTTGTATTTTTAGTAGAAACGGGGTTTCACCTTGTTGGTCAGGCTAGTCATAAACTCCTGACCTCAGGTGATCCACCTGCCTCAACCTCCCAAAGTGCTGGGATTACAAGCATGAGCCACCGCACCTGGCCCAAATCTATTGAAATTTAAGGAAAAAAAATAGGAGTAGAATATAAATTTAAAAAAGAGACTTATGCCGGGCGTGGTGGCTCACGCCTGTAATCCCAGCACTTTTTTGAGAGGCCGAGGGGGGCAGATCACGAAGTCAGGAGTACAAGACCAGCCTGGCCAACATAGTGAAACCATGTCTCTCCTAAAAATACAAAAATTAGCCAGGCAGGGTGGTGCGCGCCTATAGTCCCAGCTACTTGTGAGGCTGAGGCAGGAGAATCACTTGAACACAGGAGGCGGAGGCTGTGGTGAGCCGAGACTGCCCCACTGCACTCCAGCCAGGGCAACAGATCGAGACTCCATCTCAAAAAATAAGTAAATAAGTTACTGAAATGTTCAATTATAGCCTAGGAAAAATAAGTATTTTCTGAAAGAAACAGGACACTATTCCTACAGAGTTTTACATACATTCTACTGGAAAATTTCAAAACTAGGTAAAGATCTTCAATAGGAAAAGAATGTTTCACTTTCCTACCAAAAATAATGTTCAAAAGATACCTACCTTTAATTATGCTTACAGAATTTTTGTAGATGATCCGTGCCAACTCACCCTTAAGGATTTCTTCAGAATAATCAGGATGCTCCTAAAGAGTGTTATATCAAACGTAACTTAATAGGTAGTACAAGGAGGAAAAGCACTAGGACGAAAATTAACAATCCTAGACTATCTGTGCCATATGACCACTGGCAAATCATGTCTCTCTCTCCAGGCCAGTTCCCTCACTTGTAAAGTGTGCAGCTTGAACAAGATCACTGATCTTCCAACTGTGTTCTTTCAGGCTCCAAGAGTGGTGGCAAGATCACACAGCTTAAGGCCTCACTCTCCACTTGGACCAAAACAGGTCAGATTTTACATGTTTTATTTGCGCTTCTGTGTAACATTTTATTTGAATAAAAAAGTCCTGGCCTGGCGCAGTGGCTCGTGCCTACAATCCCAGCACTTTAGGAAGCTGAGGCGGGTGGATCACTTGAGGTCAGGAGTTCAAGACCAGCCTGGCCAACATGGTGAAACCCCATCTCTACTAAAAATACAAAAATTAGCCAGGCATGGTGGCGGGCGCCTGTAATCCCAGCTACTCAGAAGGCTAAGGCAAGAGAATCACTTGAACCCGGGAGGCAGAGGTTGCAGTGAGCCGAGATCATGCCATTGCACTCCACCCTAGGCAACAAGAGCAAGACTCCGTCTGAGAAAAAAGTTCTAAGCTGGATACCACAATAACAGACAATAGCAAAGTTTCTTCTCAGCTCTAACATTCTAAATCTTTTAATTATTCTGTCACATAAAAAATTATATAAAAAGGGAAAGAAAGAAGGCCAGGAAACCACACATTTCACAACCTTTCTCAAGCTCCTTGAATCCATTAATATATCACTTTATGAGATCATACAGTGTTAAAGAATAGCATTTGGCTATTCTGCAAGTAACAATTTTGAGGACCACATTAATTAGTCCAAATATCTATTTTAATACCATAAAGCTTCACTTTCCTAAGTCCACTTATAATTAACACTAACTCATCTGGAAGTTTCAAAATGTAACAACATTAAACATTGAAGCTTGAACCGGGAGGCAGAGCTTGCAGTGAGCCAAGATGGTGCCACTGTACTCCAGCCTGTTTGGCAGAACAAGACTCCATCTCAAAAAAAAAAAAAAGAAAAGAAAAATATATTCCAAATATTTTCTCTTACTCCTAAGTAGGCTCAAAATGCTATACATTGTTAGCAAGTGAGAATAAAATAATTAGAACCTTACCACATCCATACTGGCTTTTTCAAATTCTTCCTTCTCTTTCCTCAGTTTTTCCGCATGCATCAGCTCCATCCTAAAGTACTACAGAAGGAAAATAAACTGAAAATCCTTGGAGATGCTTTTTTAAATTTTTTTTTTTTTTTTTTGAGACGGAGTCTCGCTCTGTGGCCCAGGCTGGAGTGCCGTGGCCGGATCTCAGCTCACTGCAAGCTCCACCTCCCAGGTTTACGCCATTCTCCTGCCTCAGCCTCCCGAGTAGCTGGGATTACAGGTGCCCGCCATCTCGCCCGGCTAGTTTTTTGTATTTTTTTTAGTAGAGATGGGGTTTCACCGGGTTAGCCAGGATGGTCTCGATCTCCTGACCTCGTGATCCGCCCGTCTCGGCCTCCCAAAGTGCTGGGATTACACGCTTGAGCCACCGCGCCCGGTTGCTTTTTTAAATTTTTTTGAGACAGGGTCTTGCTCTGTCACCCAGGCTGCAGCGCAGTGGTGATCACAGCTCATTTCGTCCACGAATTCCTGTGCTCAAGTGATCCACTTGCCTCAGCCTCCTGAATAGCTAGGATTAGAGGCACATCCCATCACACTCAGGTAATTTTTTTATTTTTATTTTTCGGAGAGACAGGGTCTTGCTACGTTGCTGCCTGGCCTCAAACAACTGACCTCAAGTGATCCTCCTGCCTCAGCCTCCCAAAGTGCTGGGATTAAAGGCATGAGCCACCACATCCAGCCTTAATTTTCATTTAAGAATTAAATAGCAGGCTGGGCATGCCTGTAATCCCAACACTTTGGGAGGCCGAGGTGGGCGGATCACTTGAGGTCAGGAGTTTGAGACCAGCCTGCCCAACATTGTGAAACCCCATCTCTACTAAAAAAAATACAAAAATCAGTGGGGCATGGTGGCGCACACCTATAATCCCAGCTACTTCAGGGGCTGAGGCAGGAGAATAGTTTGAACACCAGAGGCGGAGGCTGCAGTGAGCCAAGAACACACCATTGAACTCCTACCTGAGTGACAGAGTGAGACTCCGTCTCAAAAAAAATAATAATTAAATAGCAGTTTCTCTTTTATCCTGACAAATGACTCAAACAGTGCAGCTTCCAATACATCCTTTCTATTATTTGGGATTTTCATCTAAAGCTTGGCCCTCAAATGTTCTAGGGCACCGTCCATAAGGGAGTAAGTCCCCGAAGAGAGAAAGGAAGTAGTGCCAAGTATCTTATCTCAAGAAAAGGAGACAGAAAGAACGTGGAGAAGAGAGGAAGACAAGGCAAAGAAGCCAGAAGAGGGCTTCTTTGGAGAACCAAGGGAACAAGAGGAAAAAGAAAAAAAATAAAAACGAAAGTATAAAGAGGCTAAATCTGGCTCCCAAATAAAAAAATGTTTGAGTCTAGTTCCCTATTCCTTCCAACCACAGGAAGGAGGTGGGGGTTCTAACCTCTCAACTAACTTAGAAGCTGCAGTGTCAACACCTACCACTGGCCAAAAAATAAAAAGACGTTTTTCCCTGGCCGGGCATGGTGGCTCACGTCTGTAATCCCACCACTTTGGGAGGCTGAGGTGGGTGGATCACCTGAGGTCAGTAGTTCGAGACTAGCCTGCCCAACAGGGCAAAACCCCATCTCTACTAAAAATACAAAAATTAGCCAGATGTGATGAGGGGCCTCTGTGATCCCAGCTACTTGGGAGGCTGAGGCAGGAGAATCGCTTGAACCCAGGAGGTAGAGGTTGCAATGAGCCAAGACTGGGCCACTGCACTCCAGCCTGGGCAACAGAGCGAAACTCCGTCTCCAGAAAAAAAAAAGAGGCTTTTCCTTACCCACACCTCCACACTTATTCCTAGCCTCCATAAATTGAAGCCTTTTTTATTTAATAAAGAATACACGGGCCGGGAACAGTGGCTCACGCCTGTAATCCCAGAACTTTGGGAGGCCAAGGCAGGCAGATCACGAGGTGAGGAGATCGAGACCATCCTGGTTAACACGGTGAAACCCCATCTCTACTAAAAAATACAAAAAATTAGCTGGGCATGGTGGCGGGCACCCGTAGTCCCAGCTACTCGGGAGGCTGAGGCAGGAGAATGGCGTGAACCTGGGAGGCAGAGCTTGCAGTAAGCCAAGACTGCGCCACTGCACTCTAGCTTGGCCAACAGAGCGAGACACTGTCTCAAAAAAAAATGTGTGTGTGTGTGTGTGTGTGTGTGTGTGTGTGTGTGTATGTATGACCAGCCTGGCCAACAAGGCAAAACCCCGTCACTACTAAAAATACAAAACATAGCCGGGTGTGGTAGCGGGAATCTGTAATCTCAGCTACTCAGGAGGCTGAGGTATAAGAATTGCTTGAATCCAGGAGAAAAAAAACAATATATGTCTCCAGAGGACCAAACTGAGACATCACCATCTCATCCTATGTGCACACACACTTACTTCTTTATAAAGTTTTGCACACTCTGGATGAAAGCGCAGTGCCCGAAGAAAGAGTTGCCTTGCGCTTTCTGAAGACAATCGATCTTCCATTTCCCATTTGGCTGCCATAATCCACAAAGCTGTAAGTGAAAAAACATCAGATTTCATTTCAATAAATTAATCAAGTCAGACAAGAAAAGAATCAAATGATTCAATTTTAATACTCACATTTTTTTTTTTAAGATGGAGTCTCACTCTGTCGCCCAGCTGAAGTGCAGTGGTGCGATCTTGACTCACTGCAAGCTCCGCTTCCCAGGTTCATGCCATTCTCCTGCCTCAGCTTCCTGAGTAGCTGGGACTACAGGAGCCCACAACCATGCCCGGCCAATTCTTTTTTGTATTTTTAGTAGAGACAGGGTTTCACCGTGTTAGCCAGGATGGTCTCGATCTCCTGACCTCGTGATCCGCCCCCCTTGGCCTCCCAAAGTGCTGGGATTATAGGCATGAGCCACCGCGCCTAGCCTACTCAAACAATTTTTTTAAAAAACCCTTAACAAAAGGGGATGCAGTTCCGACAGACTGTTTCTAACTGCAAAGCTTGTTTACATTATCTAAAATTGGAAACAGTACTCTGAAGCAAATAAGTAAATGATAACAAACGTTAATTTAGAGGATGAGTACCTAAGTGTCTGTTACTATATTTCATCAGATCGAAGGACATTATTATAAGTCACATACAATTTTTTTTTTTTTTTTTTTTTGAGACAGGGTCTCGCTCTGTTGCTCAGGCTGCAGTGGCACAAACACAGCTCACTGCAGTCTCTACCTCCCAGGATCCCACCTTACCCCTCAAGTAGCTGGGACCACGGGCACACACCATCATGCCCAGCTAAATTTTGTAGTTTTTGTAGAGACATGTTTTCACCATGTTGCCCAGGCTGGTCTCAAACTCCTGATCTCAAATGATCTGCCTGCCTCGGCTTCCCAAAGTGCTGGAATTATAGACATGAGCCACCGTGCCTGGCCCACATACAAATTTTAAAGGTAGTAAAATGCCAGAAAAAGGCCAGGCGCAGTGGCTCACACCTATAATCCCAGCACTTTGGGAGGCTGAGGCAGGCAGATCACTTGAGGTCAGGAGTTTGAGACCAGCCTAGCCAACATGATGAATCCTTGTTTCTACTAAAAAATACAAAAAATTAGCCGGATGTGGTGGCACCCTCCTGTAGTCCCAGCTATTAGGGAGGCTGAGGCAGAAGAGTCACTTTAACCTGGGAGGTGGAGGTTGCAGTGAGCTGAGGTCACACCACTGCACCCCAGCCTAGGCGACAGAGAAAGATTCCATCTCAAAAAAAAAGGCCAGAAAAAACTGCTTATCTTACAATGAATGAATTATTTTTTGCTCTTTTTTCAATATTTAGAGAAATTCTAGGGCCAGGAACAGTGGCTTACTCCTGTAATCCCAGCACTTTGGGAGGCTGAGGTGAGCAGATCGTTTGAAGTCAGGAATTCGAGACCAGTCTAGCCAACGTGGCAAAACCCCACCTGTACTAAATACAAAAATTAGCCGGGCGTGGTAGTGCACATCTGTAATCCCAACTACTTAGGAGGCTGAGGCATGAGAATCACTTGAACCCAGGAGACAGAGGTTTCAGAGAGCCGAGATCATACCACTGCACCGAAGCCTGGGCAATAGAGGCAAGACTCTGTCTCAAAAAAATAAAAAATAAATTCTAATTCATAATTTTCTTTAAAATCCTTTATCCTTCTACATGGGAAATTAACCCTGAGTTAACATTCTAGCTATTTCCCTAGAAAATTAACAAAGGTCAGCTATCTTAACAAGCAAGATTGCTTTTGTTAAAAATGACGCCTGGCTGGTAACCACACTTGGAATAGGAGGGTCAGCAATGGTGGCAAGAAATTCCTTTGAGCTTTCTTGAACATGTAACTCCTAAAATTGAGCATGACCTTTCTAGGATCTGTAGAAGCCATGCCCATCCATGGGGCTTCTAAGCCAGAGTGGATCCCCTACCCACTGATATGATCTCATCTCCTCATACCTGAACAGTCACCTTAGGAACCAGAGGCTACCTGCATTCTGCTAAGAGCATTCTGCAGAAAAAACATACCTAAGGCTATCCTGCTATATTTCTGAATAAACTGGTAGCAAATGTCGTCTATTTGAGTCTTGTGTGGTGTAAGATGTCTGATTAAGCCAAATACCCTGAGAATAGGTACTGAGGCCCCTCCACTATCAACTAGACCATTTATACATTATTCACAAGAGAAATATTTCTTTTACAAAACATGAGTCTACTCTGTACCAGCACTCTTCTAAAATTTATATTGATATTTTCCCCTTTAAGCTTCTAAAATTCCTCAGATTTGACTGCCTCCAAATAAAATGTCCCTCAAAGGATTCAAAAGTTTATTTTGCCATCATCTAAAAAGAAATACAGTCTGGACGGGCACGGTGGCTCACACCTGTAATCCCAGCACTTTGGGAGGCCGAGGTGGGTGGATCACGAGGTCAGGGGTTCAAGACCAGCCTGACTAACATGGTGAAACTCCATCTCTACTAAAAATACAAAAATTAGCTGGGCGTGGTGGCAGACGCCTGTAATCCCAGCTACTCAGGAGGCTGAGGCAGGAGAACTGCTTGAACCCGGGAGGCGGAGGTTGCAGTGAGCCGAGATTGTCCCACTGCCCTCCTGCCTGGGTGACAGAGCGAGACTCCGTCTCAAAAAAAAAAATAAACACAGTCCTTCTTGCCTGCAGATACCACACCTAGGACAGCAACTAGTATATAGTAGGCAGGGGTCAACTATGAGGCAGCTATGTCAGTAACAAAAACTGCTGAGACCAACTGCCTAAGCTCAAGTCCTCAAAATAATCTCTTAAGATTCATCAAGTGAAATAAAATGCAAAATGGCTTGAGTCTAAATAAAATGTAGAAAAATTGACAAAGATTTCACCATACCTGGCTTGTTGGAATGAATCGCCAACATGGCAGAGAATACCTTGCTAAGTTGAGTTTTAGCAGCCTGTAAAAAAGGAAAATATTTCTACTTCCTGCACAGATAAATCATTGCTCTTACTCACTAAGTAATGTGAACCCTAACTTTACTGACTGTAAAATCCAATGAAGCATGACATGCTATTGCTAGGGACATACAAACGAACACAGACCCTCATAATTTTCTACCTCAATTAAACCACTGAACACTTTAAATATCTCTTTTTAAAAAATAAGCTGTATTGAACAAATACATGTAAAAATTATATTCTGTTCAATTGACTTGGAAACTATTAAGAGTCATTTAGATATCCAATGTTATATTGATGTTCCGCCTTCTTGGGTTCTTTTTTCATTTGTTAACCCTACACTTCAGGAAAAAACATCTGACATGAAGCTTAAAGGGCAGTTAACAAAAATATGGCCAGAGGAAGCAAGACATGTATGGCTTTACTTACCCACTTCTTACAAAAAACCACATAGGAGAGCCAAAGTTGAACATCATCCTGCAAGAAAAGCAATGTAGTAAGCTGCCCGAACTTGACCTTTACATATAATACACCTTCACATTAATTAGCTTTGCTAAAAACAAGCTGATTTCAGGTTGGGTGCAGTGGCTCACGCCTGTAATCCCAACACTTTGTGAGGCCAAAGTGGGCGGATCACTTGAGGTCAGGAGATCGAAACCAGCCTGGCCAACATGGTGAAACCCCACCTCAACAAAATTACAAAGATTATTAGGAGGCCGAGGCGGGTGGATCACTTGAGGTTGGGAGTTCAAAACCAGCCTAGCCAATATGGTGAAATCCCGTCTCTACTAAAAATACAAAAAAATTAGCCGGGCGTGGTACAGACCCTGTAATCCCAGCTACTCGGGAAGCTGAGACACAAGAATCGCTTGAACCCAGGAGGCGGAGATCGTGCCCCTGCACTCCAGCCTGGGCAACAGAGGGAGGCTCCATCTCAAAAAAAAAAAAAAAAAAAAAAAAATTAGCCAAGTGTGGTGGTATGTGCCTGTAATCCCAGCTACTAGGCAGGCTGAGGCAGAAGAATCACTTGAACCTCGGAGGTGAAGGTTACAGTGAGCTGCCGAGATTGTGCCACTGTACTCCAGCCTGGGTGACGGAGCAAGACTCCATCTCAAAAAAAAAAAAAAGCCAGGCGCAAATGGCTCAGGCCTATAATCCCAGCACTTTTGGAGGCTGAGGCAGGTGGATCACCTGAGGTCAGGAGTTTGAGACCAGCCTGGACAAGATGGCAAAACCCTACTAAAAATACAAAAATTAGCCAGGCATGGCGGCTTGTGCCTGTAGTCCTAGGTACTGGGGAGGCTGAGGCAGGAGAATTACTTCAACCTGAGAGGCAGAGTTTGTAGTGAGCCAAGATCACAGATCATACCACTGCACTCTAGCCTGGGCGACAGAAAAAGACTCCATCCCAAAAAAAAAAAGCAGATTTCAGAAAATCCAATCCCCTCTCATCCTATCTGGCTTTCCCTCACAAAGGCTCAGATCTCTTAACTATGATAATTCAATCTTTCCCCCAACTCCCACTCACAATGCCCCAAAAAAACTTTGTTATCTATCCAATTTGTTTAATGCAGTTCTTAAAGGATCTCAATCTGTGGTAGCAATATAAAATTTGTCATTCCCAAGAATCCAAAATACTTCTCACATAATATATCCAATCCCAAAGACTCCTGTAATCCCAGCACTTTGGGAGGCTAAGGTGGGCAGATCACTAGAGCCCAGGAGTTCAAGACCAGCCTGAGCAACATGACGAAACCCTGTGTCTACCAAAAATACAAAAATTAGCCAGGCATGGTGGCATGTGCCTGTGATCCCAGCTACTGGGGAGGCTGAGGTGGGAGAATCATTTGAGCCTGGGAGGCAGAGGTTGCAGTGAACTGAGATCACTCCACCGTACTCTAGCCTGGGCAACACAGTGAGACCTTATCTCAAAAAAAAAAAAAAAGAAAAGAAAAAAAATCAAGTTTCTGAGGTATTGCCCCTACATAACCATTTATCTTCAGGCTCTAAGTCTTCAGTGTACTTACAGATATATACAAGTATCTCCCAAATTTCCAATCCTTTGTAATGTATCAAATACACTATTTTCAGCACTGTCCTCACAGAATAACTATAAGGTAATAAGATCAATTTTCTTACTGGTTTGCTAAGTGGCTCAAAAAATGTTTTGAGCAATGATACCATCATTAGAATAAGTATAAAGATACCCAAGATAAAAATAGAAAACTGCAGTTGAATTCCTAATACAATATGGATAATACTTATCTTCACATCTCATAAAGTTAAGGATGGCCTGATCACTTACTTTCCATTTTGCTGAGGCACGCTGGAAAACACCTTGTACCCGGTGTACAATAGAATTCTCAATCTCATCCTTCTTAAATGAATATCCAATGCGCTAAAGGGGGACATAAAAAACAAAGCCTCAGCTTAATCACATTTGTCCAACACAGCATTCCTACTTGACCACTGAATGGTACTGATGAAGCAAACAAATAATTACAAATATCCATTACAGGCATATCACCACACAGTTTTATCCACACTGTCTCCCAAACACAAGTCCTAACTATACCGCCAGTCATACTGCTTAGTTCTGTATTTTTTTCCAACTTCTAGAAAATCTTCTACTTACTGTTCTTCTTCTCTGGATCAGCTCCAAAAGATTAATTTCATACTATGAAAGAAAAACATACAAAAAAATTAGAAGCTAGAAAATCTAAAACCTTTTACATACTGGAAATTTAGTCATAAAACAAAACTCAAGAATATAAATAAAAAATAATGTGTTATCACATAAGCATAATTTACAATAAATGTCTAGAATTCACTTAAAATTTACTTAGCTATAAAACTTAAAATAATTAACAAGCTTATAATTATATGCTTCACTTAAAAATTACTCCATGAAATATTTCAAGCTTATAAAACACCCCATGCAGCTACAATACAGCTACATCAAAACTTACATTGCACTACATTTGCTTCAAATCTTTTTTAGAAATAAAACAGTATAAAAATGAAGCCACCTATGTACCCATCTCTGATTCTACTCTTCTCCCTCTCCAGAGGCAGGAATTACCTTGACTTGGTTATCATTCCCAAACATGATTTTGAACTTTATTATGATGTCTTGAATGCTTTTAAATTTTACATAAACGGTATCATGCTACATCTATCAATCCATAGGTTTTTCATTGTTTTTTGTTTGTTTATTTGAGACAAAAAAACAAACACTCAGGAGGCGGAGGTTGCAGTGAGCCGAGATTATGCCACTGCACTTCAGCCTGGGTGACAGAAGGAGACTCCATCTCAAAACAAAACAAAAAAAAGATTCGCTCTTATGATGAATATAAAGCAGTCCTAAAAAGCAGGACTATAAAGCAGTCCTGAATTTTTTTGTTTGTTTTTTTGAGATGGAGTCTCGCTCTGTCACCAAGGCTGAAGTGCAGTGGCAAAATCTAGGCTCACTGCAACCTCCGCCTCCCAGGTTCAAGCAATTTTCTGGCCTCGGCCTCCCCAGTAGCTGGGATTACAGGCATGTGCTACTACGCCTGGCTAATTTTTGTATTTTTAGTAGAGATGGGGTTCCACCATGTTGACCAGGCTGATCTCCAACTCCCAACCTCAAGTAATCCACCCGCCTCGGCCTCCCAAAGCGCTAGGATTACAGGCGTGAGCTACTGTGCCCGGACCCTACACCTGGTTTTAATCTTTATTTAAATAATTACTGATGAGGCTGACATCTTTTCATAAGTTTAACTACAAGTGATGTTTCCCCTTTGTGACTTTCACGTTCACATGATTTGCCCATTTTTCTTTTCAGTTGTCATTCTCTTCTCGATTTACAGTTCCTTATACATGCGTATATGTAGTTCCAATTATGTGCTGCAAATATTTTCTCACATTTTGTGGCTTGTATTTTCACATTATTTGTAGTGTCTTTTTTGCACAGAAATTTTTTTTTTTTTTTTTTTGAGACAGGGTCTCTATCACCCAGACTGAAGTGCAATGGCACCATCATGGCTCGCTACAGCTTCCACCTCCCAGGTTCAACTGATCCTCCCACCTCAACCTCCAGAGTAGCTAGGACTACAGGCGTGCACCACCATGCCCAGCTAATTTTTGTATTTTTTTGTAGAGATGGGGTTTGCCATGTTGCCTAGGCTGGTCTTGAACTCCTCAGTTCAAGCGATCTGCCTGTCTTACAGTGAGCCGCCACGCCCCTCTGGAAATTTGTATTTTGAACACAAATCAATCAATCTTTTCTCCTATGGTTTGTGCTTTCACGGTCTCATTTAGCTTTAAGAAATCTTTTGGCTGGGCACACTGGCTCAAGCCTGTAATCCCAACACTCTGGTAGGTCAAGGCAGGAGGATCACTTGAGCCCAGGAGTTCAAGACCAGCCTGGGCAACATAAAGAGACCCTATCTCTACAAAAAATAAGAAAATTAGCCAGCCATCTGGCACAAGCCTGTAATCCTACCTACTTGGGAGGCTGAGGCAGGAGGATCACCTGAGCCTAGAAGTTCGAGGCTGCAATGAGTGATGCTCGCACCATTGCACTCCAGCCTGGGCAAGAGTGAGTGTATTACTTGAAAAAAAAAAAAATTGTATTTTTGACATAATATGGTCTTGACTCATTTTGAGTGAGCAACCTACTTATAGGACCTCTTCCAAAAACAATAGCTTAGCCAAGGTTCATATATCATTTGTTCAGCTGTCTTTTGAAATCTAAGCTCAAAACTTCTAGTCTTTTTTTTTTTTTTTTTGAGATGGAGTTTCACTCTTGTCGCCCAGGCTGGGAGTGCAATGGCACAATCTTAGCTCACTGCAACCTCCACCTCCTGGGTTCAAGCGTTTCTCCTGCCTCAGCCTCCTGAGTAGCTAGGATTACAGGCGCCCACCATCATACCCAGGTAATTTTTGCTTTTTTAGCAGAGACGAGGTTTCCCCATGTTGGCCAGGCTGATCTCGAACTCCTGACCTCAGGTGATCTGCCCACCTCAGTCTCCCAAAGTGCTGGGATTACAGCATAAGCCACTGTGCCCACCCAAAACTTCTAGTCTTATAAACATTTCACCTTGTTATTGGTTCTTTCTGAATCCTGATTTCGTCATCCAACATATTAGCTATTCTCCCCCATTGGAAAATTGATCTGACATGATTTATCTTTATTCAAACCTTCTATGCATTTACAAGATGAAAAAATCTTGCAGCACACCTCTTTCCAAGTGGACAGACAACAGATAAACAAGTAGTAACTTTTCAATTCTCTACAATCATCAAATTCACTCTCCTCTATCTTGCCCACCAAGAGGCAAATCTCTTGCTGAAGTCCTGATACACACTATGTCTCTGACAATCTCTGATCTACAAACCCAGTAGAGAAAAAAAAAAAGAAAGAAAATGAAAAGAGAGAAAGAGAGGGGAAAAGTAAGTTCAGTTTGGCAAGGACTAAAGTCTTAGTGGAGTAATGCTATTCCCAATGTTACTCCTGTCAGAAATATCTACCTAATGCACCTTTCTGGAACTTTAGAAAAAAATAATTTTTTTTTTTTTGAGACAGAGTCTCACTCTGTTGCCCAGGTTGGACTTCAATGGCGCAATCTCAGCTCCTGCAACCTCCACCTCCCAAGTTCAAGCGATTCTCCTGCCTCAGCCTCCTGAGTAGCCGGGATTACAGGCACCTACCACCATGCCCAGCTAATTTTTGTATTTTTAGTAGAGACGGGGTTTCACCATGTTGGTCAGGCTGGTCTTGAACTTCTGACCTCAAGTGATCCGCCTTCCGTGGCCTCCCAAAGTGCTGGGATTACAGGTATGAGTCACCGCGCCCAGCCTAAAAATTATTTAAAAATTGATGTTGGCCGGGCGCGGTGGCTCCCACCTGTAATCCTAGCACTTTGGGAGGCCGAGGTGGGTGGATCACGAGATCAGGAGTTCAAGACCACCCTGGTCAAGATGGTGAAACCCTGTCTCTACTAAAAATACAAAAATTAGCCTGGCGTGGTGGCATGCACCTGTAATCCTAGCTACTCAGGAGGTTGAGGCACAGAACTGCTTAAACCCGGGAGGCGGAGGTTGCAGTGAGTTGAGATCACACCACTGCACTCCAACCCGGGCAACAAGAGCGAAACTCCATCTCAAAAAAAAAAAAAAATTGATGTTAAGCTAATCATTCTAGAACTGATTTTAAATTTGTGAAAGGACGGGAGGCTGAGGCAGGAGAATCACTTGAAGCCAGGAGGCAGAGGTTGCAGTGAGCAGAGACTGCGCAACTGCACTCCAGCCTGGGTAACACAGAGAGACTCCATCTCAATCAATCAACCAATCAATCAATTTGTGAAGGGATTAAAGTAAGGCTAGGGCCGGGCATGGTGTCTCATACCTGTAATCATAGCACTCACTTTGGGAGGCCAATGCAGGTGGACTGCTTGAGGCCAGGAGTTCGAGACCAGACTGGCCAACATGGCAAAACCCAGTCTCTACTAAAAGTAGCTGGGCGTGGTGCCACATGCCTGTAATCCCAGCTACTGGGGAGGCTGAGACTTAAGAACCACTAGAACCTGGGAGGTGGTGGTTGCAGTGAGCCAAGATCGCACCACTGAACTCCAGCCTGGACGAAAAAGCAAGACTCTTGTCTCAAAAACAAAACAAAAAAAAAGAAAGACTAGGCCCGGTGGCTCACAAACACTTGTAATCCCAGCATTTTGGGCGTGGGAAACATGCCAAAACCCCGTCTCTACAAAAAACACAAAAACTAGCCACACATAGTGTCACACACCTGTAGTCCCAGCTACGCCAGAGGCTGAGGTGGGAGGATGGCTCCAGCCCAGGACGTGGAAGCTACACTGAGCCATGATGGGACCACTGGACTTCAGCCTGAGTGAAAGGTGAGACCCTGCCTCAAAAAAAAGTAATAAAATTATTAATTATTGGCCGGGCATTGTGGTTCACACCTGTAAGCCCAGCACTTTGAGAGGCCAAGGCGTGGATCCCTTAAGCTCAGGAATTCCAGACCAGCCTGGGCAACATGGCAAAACCCAGTGTCTACCAAAAAGTATAAAAAATTAGCCAGGCAAGGTAGTATGCACCTGTGGTCCCAGCTACCCAGGAGGCTGAGGTAGGAGAATTGCTTGAGCCTGGAAGGCAGAGGTTGCAGTGAGCAAAGATCACACCATTCACAGCACTGCACTCCAACCTGGGTGACAAAGTGAGACCCCATCTCACCAAAAAAAAAAAAAAAAAAAATTATTAATTACACACTTACTTGAACATAATTGATAAAGTCTTCCTTGAAAAGGGTTCTTCTCTGGATTTTGTACTCTAGATCAGAAGCCTTCTTAATGATAGCCCTGAGGAGAAAACCATTTAAACTTCACTTGAAAACTGCAAAAATTAAATGTTTAACTTTATTCTGAATATATTTAAAACACGTTTTTCAAAATTCAAAATTCCTAGAGTTATCTTTCATAAGAAAATACATCGGCCGGGCTCAGTGGCTCACGCCTGGAATCCCAGCACTTTGGGAGGCTGAGGTAGGTAGATCACGAGGTCAAGAGATTAAGACCACCCTGGCCAACATGGTAAAACTCCATCTCTGCTAAAAATACAAAAGTTAGCTGGGCGTGGTGGTGCACGCCTGTAGTCCCAGCTACTCGGGAAACTGAGGCAGGAAAATTGCTTGAACCTGGGAGGTGGAGGTTGCAGTAAGCCGAGATCGTGCCACTGCACTCCAGCCTGGTGACAGAGCCAGACTCCGTCTCAAAAAAAAAAGGAAAAAAAAGTATTCTCTTACACAATTACTTTTGTGTTCTTGGGATGTATTTTTAAACTTTCAGGAAAATCATCTTAATCAACTCCCAAAACCAATGACATTCCCACCAGCAAAGCAAATATAATTAAGAACTTTATACCATTTATGCATGGTATTTTTTTCTTCTTTCTTTTTCTTTTTTTTTGAGACAGTGCCTCGCTCTGTCCACCCAGACTGGAGTGCAGTGGCATGATCACAGCTCACTGCAACTTCCGCCTCCTGGGTTCAAGCGATTCTCCTGCCTTAGCCACCTGAGTAGCTGGGACTACAGGCGCCCGCCACCACGCTCGGCTAATTTTTGTATTTTTAGTAGAGATGGGGTTTCACGATATTGGCCAGGCTGGTCTCGAACTCCTGATCTCACGTGATCCGCCCGCCTCGGCCTCCCAAAGTGTCTGGCTGGCATTAATAAAGACTTCTTTTACACCGAGTTCAGGTCACTTTGATTTTAATAATAAATCTCTTTCCGAAATTCCTCTTATTTCTGAGTTCTCAACATGTAAATTTTTTAAAAACTCTAAATTGTGTCTGCCTTAAAAGGTTTATTACTACGAAGGACTTAGGGGAGAAGATTCAGAGTCCTTAGCTAAGGAGAGAACACATGACAAGCACACTTTAGGAGAATTTAATGCAAGATATGCAAGACAGGTGTCTTTAGTAATGGTAACAACAACATTTACTGAGCACTTTCTAAGCATCCACACTGCTATGTTCTGTATTTCAGTAACGAATGCTTACTTTGAAGCTCTGAGTCGCATTACTACATTCAGACGTTGCGAAACAAAGCAACAATCACAGAAACCATTAAAAACTATTAAACATAATTTTAACACGCAACTGAATGTCTACTATGTGCTAGGCGCTGTAGTGAAGCTCTGGAGTAGCATATGAAACTGATTTCAACGGTCCCCACCTTCAAGTCTAGTTAGAAACTTATTCACTCCCGCTGCACTCTGTTCCCATCCCTACAGCAGCACAAGCTACTGCAATCACCTTACAGTACACTGTTATCAAAATATTTAATTTGTCTGTCTCCCCCGCCACACACAGCCCAATTAGCTCCTAATGAGCAGGAATCCTTGGTTTAATCACCGTTACGACCCTAAAACCCGGCTCCATGAAAGGCTTGTCAATATGTCGGATGGGTAAGTAGACGGAAGGATAACCTTGCAACGAATGAAAAATTCTGGACATCACCGAAAACGGGAAATGGGCTTCCGCCACGTTAGGAAAAATAAACACAGGTCGAGCGTCCCCACACCTGGCCCCTGCCACATACTCCCAACCTCCCCTCAGGCCGCCTTAGCTCTTCCCTCTCCTCAACCCTCTCTCACTTAATCTCCGCATGACTGAACAGTCCAATGCGCTCCAGCTGTTCCAATTCCGGGAGCCGATCTTCTATGCGCTCCTGAATTATCTCTGCCATGAGGTCCAAACTCTACAACCCCGTGGGGAGCTCCTCAACAGCGAACACGAGTACGAAGCTCCGGATTTCAGGTTCGAAGATCCAGCCCCACCACCTACGCGTCCGGACGTAACGTGCTCCTTAGGTCCCGCCTTTTCCGCTTCCGCCGCCTCCGCCGTAGGGGAAGGCCCTTCGGCTTCTACAGCCACTGTCCCCTCCCTGCGGCCGATTGTGGGATTGCAGCGAGAATCCCCCCGGTCTTGGGCCGGACAACTCTAGCGGACAGGAGTTGAAGGGCGGGGCTAGACGGGAGGCGGGGCTGCGATCGGGAAAAAAGTCTCCGGGTATGGAGAGGTGGGCTACCAAAGCCTAAAAGGGACACAAGATGCATTTTCTGCAGAATATTGTCTATTTTCATTGTGCTCCCATTCCACGTCCTGACTTCCCAACACCAAGAACAACAAAAAAAAAGCAAAGGGGGATATTTTACAATTAAACATTTTTGAAAGCCGGTCGCGATGGCTCACGCCTGTAATCCCAGCACTTTAGGAGGCTCAGGCGAGCGGATCACCTGAGGTCAGGAGTTCGAGACCATCCTGGCTAACATGGTGAAACCCCATTTCTACTAAAAATTGTAAAAAAAAAATTAGCCGAGCTTGCTGGCATGCGCCTGTAATCCCAGCTACTCGGGAGGCTGAGGAAGGAGAATCGCTTGAACCCGGGAGGCCGAGATCGCGCCATTGCACTCCAGTTTGGGCAACAAGAGTGAAACTCCCTCTCTAAATAAATAAATCATAGAATTGTTTATTATTTAAATCAATATCTTGGCTTTGTAAGTAATAGCTTTAAAAATGTATGCCCCTAGGTGAATATCAGACACTATAAATTCTTTCTAGAAAAGCAGATTTTTGTATTGAAAAGTGTGGGAATTACCAAAATAAATCACTAAGGTATAGATACCCTCCTTAAACCATTGCCCAGGCAACTTAGCATTTCTAAGAGAACCACCAGGCAACACAGCTTGGAGGCAATATTGCTGGTATAGTTAGTAAACCTCAAATGATAACTACATGGTTCAGTTCTTTTTTAGTTCCGGATATAAAAAGCCAAAGCAGCAGTTCTTGCTAGACCTGCTTATTTCAACATTTACATTAGCACTGTGATCCTGTGTGTGATTTATGAAAGGAGAATGGGCCCAGCAAAACGATGTTCCACCTCTGTGCCTTTCATTTCTTTCTTTCCTTTCACATTTTACCCCACTCATCTCAGAACTGAGACGAGGGTTGGCTTGTGCTACACCATTTCTTGAATCCTTCAGCTGTAAGACATGAGAGAAGTGGAAGGAAATCATGAATGTAAGACAAAGAGAGAATTTATTTGTAAAAGAAAAATCTCTGGGACTGTGTTAACAGTAAGAGTGGAGATGACACTAGATAGTGAACTCTATGTGGGCAGGGAATTTTTTCCTATTTGGCTGGATAGATACTCTATAGCTTATAGCAGTGCCTACCATATAATAAGTACTCAGTTAATAAATGCATGACACTAAGAAAAGGCACTTGCTAAATTTCTTTAGGTACAAGGAAGTCAGCAAGCTCTGACAGACTGTAATCATTTCAAAGTAAATTTGATAGAGGCCTTGACAAATTAACCATGTGGTTTTGTTTTTTGTTTGTTTGTTTGTTTTTTAAGAGACAGAATCTCGCTCTGTCGCCAGGCTGGAGTGCAGTGACATGATCTCGGCTCATCACAACCTCCAACTTCCTGATTCAAGCGATTCTCCTGCCTTAGCCTCCGGAGTAGCTGGGACTACAGGCACGTGCCACCGCACCCAGCTAATTTTTGTGTTTTTCTTAGAGATGGGGTTTCATCATGTTGGCCAGGATGGTCTCAATCTCCTGACCTCGTGATCCACCCGCCTCAGCATCCCAAAGTGCTGGGACTCCAGGTGTAAGCCACCGTGCTCGCCCAATTTTTAAATCAAACTAACTATAAATATGCTCCTCCTTTATTTTGTTTTGTTGTTGTTTTTAAGACAGCCTCGCTGGCCAGGCGCAGTGGCTCATGCCTGTCATCACAGCACTCTAGGAGGCCGAGGCCGGCGGATATCCTGAGGTCAGGTATTCAAGGCCAGCCTGGCCAACATGGAGAAACCCCGTCTCTACTAAAAATACAAAAAAATTAGCCGGACCTGGCGGCACGTGCCTGTAGTCCCAGCTACTAGGGAGGCTGAGGCAGGAGAGTTACTTGAACCCGGGAGGCGGTGGTTGCAGTGAGCCAAGATCCCACCACTGCACTCCAGCCTGGGGACAGACCAACTCCGCCTCAAAAAAAAAAAAAAAAAAAAAAAGACAGAGCCTCTCTGTTGCCTAGTGGGGAGGGCAGTGGTGGGATCTCGGCTCACTGCAACTTCCACCTCCTGGGTTCAAGCGATTCCCCGAGTAGCTGGCATGACAGGCATGAGCCACCATGCCCGGCCAATTATGTTTTTGTTTCGTTTTGAGACAGGGTCTCACTATGTTACCCAGGCAGGAGTGTAGTAGTGTGACCACAGCTCACTGCAGCCTCAACCTCCTGGGCTCCAGCAATCCTCCCACCCCTGCCTCCTAAGTAGCTGGGGCTACAAGTGTGCCCTACCACACCTGGCTAATTTTGCTTTTCTCTTTTTTGTAGAGACAGGGGTCTCACTATGTTGCCTAGGATAGTGTTTTGTTTTTGTAAACAAACACTGTATTGTCACCATGGGTCTTGAACTCCTGGCCTCAAGTGATCCTCTTGTTTCCACTTCTCAAAATTCTGGGATTACAGGCATGAGCCACCACACCCAGCAATCCTCCCTTATTTTGACATTTAGCTTTTTTTTTTTTTTGTGGGAAGGATGGAGTTTCGCTCTTGTTACCCGGGCTAGAGTGCAGTGGCATGATCTCGGCTCACTGCAACTTCAGCCTCCCAGATTCTAGTGATTCTCCTGCCTCAGCCTCCCGAGTAGCTGGGATTACAGGCATCCGCCACCACGACCAGCTAATTATTGTCTTTTCAGTAGAGATGGAGTTTCACTATGTTGGCCAAGCTGGTCTCAAACTCCTAACCTCAGGTGATCCACCCACCTCGGCTTCCCAAAGTGATGGGATTATAGGCGTGAGCCAACATGCCTGGCCGAAATTTAGCTTTTACATATATATTCTTGTTGTTGTTGATGCGCCCGGCCCATCATAATAATTCTTGAAGGTAAATATAAAAGCTAGGCGGGGCGGGGTGGCTCACATCTGTAATCCCAGCACTTTGGGAGGTGGAGGCGGGTGGATCACAAGATCAGGAATTCGAGACCAGCCTGGCCAACATGGTGAAACCTCATCTCTACTAAAAATACAAAATTAGCCAGGCGTGGTGGCACGTGCCTGTAGTCCCAGCTACTCAGGCGGCTGAGGCAGGAGAATAGTTTAAACCGGAAGGCGGAAGTTGCAGTGAGCCGAGATCGCGCTACTGCACTCCAGCCTGGGCAACATACCGACACTCCGTCTCGGGTAAAAAAAAAAAAAAAAAAAAAGAGTTATTATGATGTTTGGGAGGCCGAGGCAGGCGGATCAGCTGAGGCCAGGAGTTTGCAACCAGCCTGGCCAACATGGGGAAACACCCCCGCTACTAAAAATACAGAAATTAGCTGGGCATGGTGGTGGGTGCCTATAATCCCAGCTACTCTGGAGGCTGAGGCAGGAAAATTGCTCAAACCTGGGAGGCGGAATTTGTAGTGAGCCGAGATCATGCCACTACACTCCAGCCTGGGAGACAGAGCGAGACTCCGTCTCAAAAAACAAACAGACAAACAAAAAAAAAATATTACGATGGGCCTGGTGCGGTGGCTTATGCCTGTAATCCCACTACTTTGGGAGGCCAAGGCAGGTGGATTGCTTCAGGCCAAGAGTTTGAGACCAGCCTGGCCAACATGGCAAAACCCCTTCTCTACTAAAAGTACAAAAAACCAGCCTGGCCAACATAGCAAAACCCTGTCTCTACTAAAAATACAAAAATTCACTGGGTGTGGTGGCAGGCATCTGTAATCCCAGCTACTCAGGAGGCAAAGGTAGGAGAATCACTTGAACCTGGGAGGCGGAGGTTGCAGTCAGCTGAGATCGCGCCACTGTACTCCAGCCTGGGAGACAGAGCGAGACTCCGTCTCAAAAAAAAAAAGAATATATATATATATATAGCCGGGCATGGTGACACATGCCACCATGGTGGATACTTGGGAGGCTGAGGCACAAGAATCACTTGAACCTGGGAGGCAGAGACTGCAGTGAGTCGAGATCGTGCCACTGCACTCCAACCTGGGCAACAGAATGAGAATCTGTCTCAAAAAAAAATAATTATGATGGAAATGACAAAGCCTTTTCACTTCCGCATCTCATAATAATAGCTGTCATTGGCCCGGCGCAGTGGCTTACGCCTGTAATCCCAGCACTTTGGGAGGCTGAGGTCGGTGGATCACAATGTCAGGAGTTCGAGACCAGCATAGCCAGCATGGTGAAACCCCAAGACTCTGTCTCAAAAAAAAAAAAAAAGCTGTCATTACATACGGCTTATTGTGTGCCCAGCTACTATTGCACTGGTCTAAGTCCTTTATGGTTTTTTGTGTTTTTTTTTTTGAGACGAAGTTTCACTCTTTTTGCCCAGGCTGGAGCACAATGGCATGATCTCAGCTTACTGCAACCTCGGTCTCCCAGGTTCAAGTGATTGTCCTGCCTCAGCCTCCCAAGTAGCTGAGACTACAGGCGCCCACCACCACGCCTGGCTAATTTTTGTATATTTAGTACAGACGGGGCTTCACCGTGTTGACCAGGCTGGTCTTGCACTTCTGACCTCAGGTGATCCACCCGCCTTGGCCCCCCAAAATTCTGGGATTATAGGCATAAGCCACTGCGCCTGGCCAAAGTCCTTTATGTATTAACTCACCTAATAGCATCACATAAATATTTTGAAATATCAACTAAGAAGAAGCCCTCAAAAAGAGATATAGTACCTGAGATTGTACCACTGCACTCCCGCCTAGGCAACAAGGCGAAAATCCTCCTCAAAAAAAAAAAAGTACTTACTGGAGAAAGCCCAAGACAGAAGAAGAAACTGCATAAAGCCCACAATGTCTCAAAATCCTGGCCAGGCTC